AAACATCTGGAGAATTTCCCCCTATCTTTCTGCTATAGATTTCTAGTTTGATTGCATCAGGATTAGAGAACGCACTCTGTATTGTTATTTCAGTTCCTTTCAATTTTTTTCAGGTTTGTTTTTGTTTTATGAACCAGGATATGGTTTGTGTAGGGAATGTTTCATATATGTTTAAAAAGAATTTCATATAATTTCATATATGTTTAAAGAGAAGAACAGTGTTATTAGGTGGAATGGTATACAAATGGCAATTCAAACGTTTGATAGTATTGCTTTGTTCTTCTCTATCATTGTTGATTTTCTGTGTAGTGATTCTATCAATTGTTGAGAAAGAGGTATTGAAGTTTTTAACTGTAAATTTGGACATGTCTATTTCTCCTTTCTGTTTCAGTTTTTGCTTCAAGGAATTTTAAGTTCTGTTGTTTGCTATACACATACACATTTGGGGTTGCTATCATCTTCTTGGTGGGTTGAACATTTTACTAAAGTCTATTTTATCTCATATTAATAAAGCTACTCATTTATTTTAATTAATATTTGTCTGGTTATATTTTTCATCCTTTTACTTTCAATCTACTATATCATATTTGGAATTTTATATATATATATATTTATATGAGCATATAGATGGATCATTTTTAAAAAACCATTCTGTTGGTCTTTTTGTATACCATATTTGTGGGGTTTGACCATTTATATTTAATGTAATTATTGATAGTATAGGGCTTATATTTTCCAGAGTCTTTTTCTTAATAGGTTATTACAAAATATTTAATTCCCTGTGCTATATAGTAGGTCCTTGTTGGTTATTTATTTTATATATAGTACTGTGTATAAATCAACCTCCTGATTTATCCCTCCCCTACCCCTTCTCTTTCCCCTTTGGTAACCATAAGTTTGTTTTCTATGTCTGTGGGTCTATTTGTACGTTATTTTTTTTTTTAGATTCCACATATAAGTGGTATCACATGATATTTGTCTTTCTTAGGATTATTTCACTTAGTGTGAAAATCTCTAGGTTCATCAATGTTGTTGCAAATGGCATTATTTCATCCTTTTTTATGGCTGAGTAATATTCCAGTGTGTGTGTGTGTGTGTGTGTGTGTGTGTACCACATCTTCTTTAGCCATTCATCTGTCAATGGAATTTTAGGTTGCTTCCATGTCTTGGCTATTGTAAATAATGCTGCATTGAACACTGGATCTTTTTAAATTATAGTTTTCTCTGGATATATGCCTAGGAGTGGGATTATAGAATTATATGATAACTCTATTTTTAGTTTTTTAAGGAACCTCCATACTATTATCCATAGTGGCTGTACCAATTACATTCCCACCAAAAAGATAAGAGAGTTCCTTTTCTTCCACATCCTCTTCAGATTTTATTATTTGTACTTTTTGATGATGGCCATTTTGACCATAGTGAGATGATACCTCATTGTACTTTTGATTTGCATTTCTCTAATAATTAGTGATGTTGAGCAATTTTTCATGTGCCTGTTGGCCATTATATATTTTCTTTGGAGAAATGTCTATTTAGATCTGCTAATTTTTTTTGACTGGATTGTTTGATTTTTTGATATTGAGCTATATGAGCTGTTTGTATATTTTGGAAATTAATCCCTTGTCAGTCACATCATTACAAATATTTTCTTCCATTCTGTTGGATGTCTTTTTATGGTTTGCTTTGCTGTGCAAAAGTGACTTCTTTAGATTACACCTATGTAACTAATAACCTGCTGTTCTCAACATTCTGCTACCTCAAGTGAAGTGTAGAAATTTTATGTCCATTTATGTTCCATTATCCTGGGCCCTTTATAATTCTCTTGTAATATTTTCTCTGTATATTGAGAACCACGTTATACAATGTTATAATTTTTGCCTCAACTATCAAACATAATTTTTTAAACTCAAAAGAACAGTCTATTAAGTTTACTTGTATTTTATCCTCTTCTTCATTCTGATGTTTCAAGTTCCTTCTTTTATCATTTACTTTCTGCTGGAAGAACTTCTTTAGCAGTTCTGTTGGCAACAAAATCTAGTTTCCTTCATCTGAGAGTGTCTTTATTTCACCTTCATTTCTGATGGATATCATGAAATATAGAAGTCTGAGTTGACAGTTATCTTCTTTCAGCTCTTTAACAATGTGCCACTTCCTTCTGGCTGCCATGGTTTCAGATATGAAATCCACTGACATTCATATCATCATTTCCATAAATAATGTATCATTTCTTTCTAGTTGTTTTCAAGATGTTTTCGTCTTTACTTTCCTGAAATTTGATTATGTGTATCTTGGTGTAGATTTCTTTGGGGTTTTGTTGGGGGTTCACCCAGTCTCTTGAATCTGTAGTTTTATGTCTTTTGCCAAATATGGGAAATTTTTAGCCATATTTATCAAGTGCTTTTTCAGCCTCAATCTCTTTTCCCTCTTTTTAGAAACTTTAAAAAATGAACAGTAGATAACTTATTGTAATACCACAGGTTTCTGATGCTCTGTTCATCTCCTCTTACTCTATTGACTCTCTTTTGTTCAGATTGGATAGTTTCTATAGTTATGTTTTCAGATTCACTAATTCTTTATCTGTCATCTCTATTCTACAACTGGGACCCTCCAGTGAGCTTTTAAATTTTATAAAATTTTTATTTACTTATCTTTGACTCTGTTGGGTCTTTGTTGCTGTTTGAGGGCTTTCTCTAGTTATGGCGAGTAGGAGCTACTCTAGTTTCAGTGTGCAGGCTTCTGATTGCGGTGGCTTCTCCTGTTGCAGAACATAGGCTATAGCGTGCACTGGCTTCAGTAGTTGCAGCATGCAAGCTCAGTAGTTGCATGTCCTGGGCTCCAGAGCGTGGGCTCAGTAGTTGTGGCTCCTAGACTGTTGCCTCATGGCATGTGGGATCTTCCTAGACCAGGGATTGAACCTGTGTCCCTTATATTATCAGGCAGATTCTTAACCATGGGGCCACCAGGGAAGCCCTAAAATTTTGGTTATTGTATTTTACAGTTCTAAATTTTCCATTTGGTTCTTTTTTCATTTTTGTTATATTTCTTTGCCAGGATTTTTTTTTTCAAGTTGTGTTTATAATTGCTAATTTGGAAAGTACTTTTATGATGGTGGCTTAAAATCCTTCTTGGAAAATTTCAGTATCCATGTCATTTCAGTGTTGGCATCTGTCAGGTGTCTTTTCTCACTTAAGTCAAAATCTCCCTGGCTCTTGGTTTGACAGGTGGTTTTCATTGTATCCTGAACATTAGTTGTATATTTGAATATGTTATGAATCTCTGAATTTTATTTAAGTCTTCTATTTTAGCCCTCCACTGACAGTGCACTGGTAGAAGGGGTGCATCACCTGGTTATTGCCAGGTGGGTGGGGTAGTCCAGGAGCCCTGGCTTCCCACCAGGCATCTGCTGACCGGAATGTGTGCACGCATGCTAAGTCGCTTAGTCATGTCCAACTCTCTGCAACTCCATTGACTGTAGCCTGCCAGGCTCCTTTGTCCATGGAATTCTCCAGGCAAGAATACTTGCCATGCCCTCCTCTAGATCTCCCTGACCCCGGGATTGAACCTGTGTCTCCCACATTGCAAGCAGATTCTTTACCATCTGAGCCACTAGGGAAGCCCTCTACTGACAGGAGGTTTTTTTTTTTTCTGAGGTAGCTGGGTTTTGTCTTTCTAGACTGACCCTCTCCCTCTCCTTTGGCTAGAGAAAACAGGCTTTTCATGGGGGCTTTATGGTCTATGGCCATTGACATTTCTGGTCTGCTGGATTCTTCAGCACCCATTTTAGGATATAGAGGAGGCAAAGAGAAAACCCAGGCAACTCATGGCTGTGTTGTTCCACAATTCCCAACATCCCCAATCAGTCTACCTTCTTTTCCCTTTCTTTCAGAGTCTTTTCTTTATTTTATAAATCATGTTTGGGAAGAATTTTAGTTATACTCTGTGGGAGGAATAAGGAGAAATGCATCTATTCTATCTCACCTGGAACCATAGTCAGCCCATCTGAAGACTGGTTTTTATTAAACTTAATTATACTGAAATTTGACATGCTGGGGCTTTATGTAAATAACCTGTACTAACAGAATGCTAAGGGTCATTAGACAGGCCTCAAGGCATTTATGAAATCAGTTCTTTCCTAATGCTTAGTATGATTCTTTACTGCACATTTTTAATCATCTTGAAAGTGTTTCTTACCCAAACACTGCATCAGTAGTTTTATTAAGTTTCATCACACTAGAAAATAATGTCAATGGCATTACTTCATTCTTTGAAATGGTTGAGTGATATTGCATTTTATATATGTACCATATCTTCTTAATGCCATTTGCAACAACATGGATGGACCTAAGGATTGTCATACTGATTAAAATAAGACAGATAAGGAGAAATATCGTATGACACCCCTTGTATGTGGAGTCTAAAAAGAAATGATATAAGTGAACTTATAAAACAGAAAGAGACTCACAGACTTAAGAGAATGAACTTATGGTTGCCAGGAGGAAGGATGGGGAGAAGGGATGGTTAGGGTTTTTGAGGTGGACATGTATGCACTGCTATATTTAAATGGATAACCAACAAGGACCTACTATATAACACATGGAACTTTGCCTTCTGAGCCACCAGGGAAGCCCTGGATGGTTACATGGTTGGTGCCTAAACATACAGCTTCAGTCCCAGCCCTTACCCCACTCTACCCAGCAGGTCTCAGAAAGTTCTCCTCAACAGGCAGTCCACAGCAGCAGCTGCAGAAAGCACAGTCACACTAGAAGAGGTGCCCCCATCTTTTTCCTGTCTGTCCTCCCCAAACACCTCTTGGGTCACAAGCAGAAATTATAAATACTGATTCTGTATGGATTTACAGCATTGGATAATGCAGCTTAGGTAAGGAAGATTACAGGTTTCATATTTAAGAGGCCTTATATTGTCCAAGTTCAACAGGCTTTCCATCTATGGATTTCTGTGTTCTGAAGTTCAAACATCCTTTGTTTCTCTCCTTCCAGGTCAGTCACCATAAACCGGGACACTCAGCATGTTGTCCCAGCATTGGAAGAAGCCACGCTGTGGAGGCAATCTATCACACTGTCAGAGACTGGGGCTTGACTTGGTACCAACTGCTGTGCAGTTGGAGCAGGAATATCATGGGCTGTTAAATAATGAATGACACATTGGTTGAAATGAAGTTTCCAGTAAGGAAGTGACAGTGCAATGCAGATAATTATGGCAATAAATTAGGAAGAGCTTTAGTTCCCAGCCTGACCCTGCCTCTGTTGGAGCCAATTCAACAGGGCGTTCTCAGAACAAAGAAGAGATGTGATTTGGTACTGTTTCCCATCAGCAGGTGCCTGGACAAAACATCAATGTGAAGACGGGCCAAGTGCAGTCCTATGTATCTTGATTAAATCACTTAATATTAAATAAAAGATTTGGGTGGTGTATTTTAAAATCTGACTCATCCAGCTTTTCTTCAAATAGCTCCCCTGGCCCCCACCCCTAAATGGATTTTTTAAAAGTAATTTCCTGGGGTGAGAAAACCCTAATGAACTGAAAGAAATGTTTGCTTTTAAATTGTTCTATCTGATGTTTTTGTAATTATACTATTAAATGGTTCTGGAGTCACTGTTAATGACAAGATTTGTTTTTGATTTTGCTAGGGAGCAATTTTTTTTTTTTTACTTTCATGCCAAATATTTATATGATATAGTTCAATTGCATGATTTAGGGAGCAGTTAGTCTTCATATAGAGGAATACAAGGACTATGAGAGAAACTGTAGGAAGCTCAAGAATCTTAGCAATTCACCAACACTCAAAGCCTGTTAAAGATTTTTGCAGGCTGGGAGAAGTCACAGGTTTCAAGTGTTTATTTTAACTCAAAGGCACATTTTTAAAGTCTAAAAGTGTTGCTGTGATTTTTTAGATCCAATCTTTAAAAATTTTTCAAGCATCTAAATTAGCGGTCAGGAAAAGCCTTTTCTGAGAAGACTCTGATAGTAAATAGTTCAGGCTTTATGAGCGCTAGTTGTTCAGTGCCCTTACAACTCAGCTCTGCGTGAAAGCAGTCACAGACAAAATGAGTGAGTAGAGTGTATGCCAATAAAACTTTATTTACAAAAGCAAGCAGTAAAAAAAAAAAAAAGAAAAAAAAAGCAAGCAGTAGACTGGATTTGATCCAGGGGTCACTGTAATTTGTCCATCTCTGTTTTAAATGAAGTTGGAGAGGAATAGTTTCCACCCAGAACAGAACCTCTCTGTGTGGGAAAGAAACAGACTAAGAACAGGCCCATACTGCATTCTTCTACTAATGGACAATGCTTTTAAAAGTATGAAACAAGATGAGCTCAGCCAGTTAATCTTTTTATTTTGATTTTTGTTAAAAAAAAAAGGAAAGAAAAAAAGGCCTTGAGAAAAATGTGTTAAATATCAGTAAAGGGGAGGAAAACATGTAGCTAGCTTTATAATATCAATCTAAACATATACACAAAGGCAAACATTAAGTAAAATGCTAGGGAGAAGGAACACGTTGGGGGCCTAACTCCAGTTTTCTTTATTGCACATAAAGGTTGCTGATAACTCCAAATCTTCACGTTTTCACAGTTAGACATGTTTTAATATTATTTTATATAACATGTTTATATAACACACTATGTTGATTTTATAAAACCACCAGTTTGCTACTATTGAATGGAAGTAAAAGACAAAAATTTCCCCAATTACAGTATGGAGGCTGTCTATAAAAAATTCCCCTGAAGGTCACATCAGCCCCAATTAAATTCATCCTAGTCTATTTAAAAAACTGCTTTTCAGCTATTAAATGAATCTTGGTGGCCTCCCCATTTAATCATTTTAATGGACATAGTAAAACTTCCTAAGTAAGAAATACCAGATGTATTTTCTTTAAAAACAAACCTAAGTGACCCTACTATGAAGTCATACTTTTGAATGAGTGATTTCAGTGACAGATTCCAAACCCATAGACTTAATAATACCCACATGACTGAAAAACCACCCCATTGCTTCTCCAAAGCTCACAGCTGGAATACCACAACTAAAGTCGACCCCCAAATGTCCATGCAGTTAAGACACTCACCCACTGACACTGGGATCTTAACTTGTTTGAAGTGCTTTAGACAGCAAATGTAGAGTTCTTCATGATATTTCCAAGTCCTTTTCCATCTGAGTTCCTCCAACACATACAGGCCCACCCAGATAATTTTCCACTGGCCAAGAGTCGAGCTGACTATGACACTTGGCAGTTCTGTGAAGCTTTCCCAAAAGGTGGTCATCAGGGTAAGAAAGTGACCTCTCCTAAGCACTCTTGTGTCTGTTGCAGACCTTTTCAAAGGGCAGCAGAACAGGAAGCCCTCCTTGTTGTTTTCTCCAAGGCTCATGTAGCAGAAAACTGGCTGCCTGTGTGTGTCATGTGGGCTGTGATTAGAGTATAACCTTACAAAAATAAAACATCAAAAACTTTGGTTTTGCTCTTTACAATTTGTGTTAGCACTGGCTGACAAGATGGGTTTGTTAATTTACAGAAACTCTGCTCATGAAACGCAGAACTGGAAGAAAAAGGGTTTATTTCTAGGTCTTGTTTTGAAAGGATTGTCAAAGAGCCTACTTGCTTTTCCCCATTAGACACTAGCATTGGTTTCCAGAATACTTCTCTGTAGACTGTTCTTATTAGGTTTTAGAGAGAGGAGAGGTCTTTTCAGGTATCCACATGGTGAAAGCAGCATTCAGGTGGGTTGTTTCTAAACTGTAAGTCTTGGTCACGAAATGCCCTCAATTTACTGTACCTGTATCAGAACGTAGCAATTGACACTGGTGAGTCAGATTCTCAGTTAAAAACACAGAAGGAATCAGAATTCAATGACAGTATTTGACAGACTAGCTCCTTCACTAACTCATCTACAGAAGCAACATCAAAAAGCAAGCATGAAACCTGTCAAGTGCCCCATTTGTGAAGCAGAATAAGAAGTCATATAGTTACTGAATCAGCAAGCTGACTTTCCTGATGCCCTCAAACCAGGTTCCATTTTATAGCAGATGGGAAAATCAGCTTTCTGATCCACCTCCTAGAGCTCACAATGGGTACCAAGGTAGGTTTCCAAAAGGATGACTTCCCCTGCAATGAGTTGCTTGTTTGCCCTGCCAGCAATTTCACCTAAGTGCATCAGCAGTGTTTCTAGATTTAGAAATCATTTTGTTCACATTAGATAGCTGACATGAAAACATTAACTTCCGCTGCGGACAAAGAAAGGGGGAGCTATGATGGGGCTTGGGCATGTGTGCGTGAAACAGACTTCTGTTTTTGAAACAAATATTACTTGTTTGCCCTAGACTGAAATGTTCATGGATAGCTGAGAGAACATTTTTTCAGGTTTCTACAGAGATATTTGTTGACTGAACCATGAAGGATATTTTCAGGTCTAGAGAACACAGCCTAAAGAGCTCCTTGCTGTTTACTTGATGAAACATTTGATGTCACAGTGTGATTTTTGGCTGTAGGACATAAATGCTTGTTTGTCTGGTCACTCCAATAAGTATCCTGATGGCCAGAGTCCATTTAATCATATATGCCCTTCTTATGCCTGTTTCCTAGGAAGAAATACAGCCTTCTTTAAATTCCAAATTTCCTTCTTTAGTTCAATTCTCCTTGTCCTCAAAAACAGTATAAAAAGGAATTGCAGGTGGTTTTTTCTTTCCTCTGTTGGTGCTATACAAAAGTTTGCATCTCCTTAATTACCTGCTACTGACACCACTGCCACATGAGACAGCAGATTGATCACAACTTTCTAAGTAATATGGTTACCCTGCTCTGGCAATGAATGGGCCCATTCTTATTTCGAGGAGTCCAGCGTGGATGCAAGCATGAGTACAAGCAAAATGTGAAGATAAAGTTCACTTGACTGTGAAAGGGACTATTAATATCAGGTTAAACTGCAAAGATAGCATCTCAGAAACTGTCACATTTGACTAGTCAGCAGTCCAGTTAAGACAAAACCCCCTTTCCCCCCAACAAATGGGAGCAAAGATGACAATTTTTAACCCCCCCATACATACACTCAATCACCCATCTCTCCCTCTCATGCTCTAAGATTTTCAAAAGTGACCTTTTCAGTTGTATTTTACAAAGTATGTTCTTGACTTCTGTAAAGATTTTTAGCATGAAACTCTCACAACTACCCTCTCTGTATTGCTGATCAACCCTGTTTGTTCCACATGACTAACAATTTAAAATGTTCTTTGCTAGACCATTTCTTTAATGTTCCAAATAGGGTTCACTGCAAGTTCTAGACTAGAGGCTCTCAACCCTAGCTTCACATTAGAATCCTTGAGGATCCACAACAAAACATGGCAGCCAGGCACCAACCTACTGAATCTGAATCTCTGAGGGTAGGGCTCTGTTCAGTATTTGTAAAAATTGGCCAAGTAATCTTAATGTGCAGCCAGGCATGAGAACCTGTACTCTAGAGCTTTTGACTGCTGAAATGCCACCCCTCAACTCAGAACAAACATGTTTCTACGATGACTTGGGATTACTCTCTCGGGGGATCTTTCTTTAGATGGCTGCACCATTACTTAGCAGTTTTGATCTGATTTCTGCCGGACTGGCAGCAAATACTCGGCCTTGAATGAAGAGGTTTCGGCCTTTGTGGCACATTACTTTTTTGTTACTCAGTGCAGGCAGGATACTTCTGAGAAGTGGAAGTTTTTTGATGAGTGAACTCACTTCCCAGGACCCCTGGTAAAGTCAGGATTAATCTCCACATCTTGCAAACAAAAATTAGGACCACAGGTCAGTGACTTAATGATTCACTGAATGAAAAATCTAACCAAATAACTACAAATCTAGCTAAGTTTTGGTCTCAGCAAATCTCTGTTTATTTATATTTAAGCAGGTTAGAATAAAATGTTTGCAGTGGAGAGGACAAAGCCCATGGAGGACCATAAAATCAAAATAGACTTTAGATACAAAGGAAAGAAGGGAATAAAAATGATTCATTTATATTATGTTGAATCATATGAAACTGCCATTTCTGTTTTCTTAAATGGTCAAAAATCAGCAATTTCATATGACTCAGCCTAATAACAAATTTTTCCTGGTTTGCACAATTTATCAATTCAAAAAGTGTCAAGCAATGTCTTATTTAAAAATTATGTCAGCTAAAAAGATTAAATGATTGATTTCATTATGAGTGTCGTAGACTGAACTGGGCCACTATTTTGTCTGACATAATAAGAAAAATTACCACATTTTATGAAAGCATTTTTTTTTTAGAAATTGGGTTTTCAAAATAGGCTATCACTGAAGCATAGGAGGAATTGCTAGCCTAGTTTCTAAGAGTTCTCTCAGTATTTCAGTACTACAGGTATGGGCAGGTGAAATAGCTCATCCAGAAAGAACCCAAACTCTTGATAAAAACCTAAACTTTAAACCACACTTACACATTAAGTTGGCATAAGGCTCCCCAGATACCATGAAAATGGCCCTTCTCTACATGGCATTCAATGTCAAGATATCCAGACTCTCAAGCTGTCTACTATAGTCGACAGAACCTTCCAACCTTCCACCAGGTTGAATAATGCTTAACTTTCCATTGACTCACCTCTGATTCCTCATGTGGCCACTGAAATCTCATGCATTTATGAATTCAAAATTCGGAATTCTACTCAGTCATTAGAATACTGTCTTGTATTTTCTTTGCAGTTAATTTTGTTTGCAGTGAGATTTCTTCCCTCTGAATACTAGCCTGTTGCCTCTGAGGCTTCTTGCTGCTTTCTCTTTCATAGATAAGACTGCATTCCACAAATTATGGTGTTATTTCTAAAGTCACAGTAGAACCCAATCCTATTCATTATTTCCCAGGCAGTCAGCTCATATGGAATACCTTGAGAACTTATAGATTTTTGCAGTGATATCACCATCAGTTTCTAAACAGTTTTTCCTGTCCTCAGATTAGTTAAAAACAACAGTATAACACTATTTTGCCTTTGGTTTCAAACATTCCAGTAACTTCTTCCTTATGGAGATTTCCAGAGAAGGAATTGGAATTCATTCCTCCATGTTGAAATGTTCATGGACATATTTTCCAGTCTTCAGTCTAAAAGAAACACAGGGAGTCAAAAAGGGGCAGGAATCCTGATAGGAGGGTGCAGTCACACAACCTCGTTGCTGGAGCCTCCAGTCAAATTGCTTTCTCATGTTTTCTGTCCATTTAACATCAGTTGCTCACAGTCCTTGGAGGTCCAATAGCAACTGTCATCCTTCACAATCTTAGCCTGTTCTCCCTTTGTATGCCCACAGCCAATGAAACCTACACTGCTGTGTCTGGATACGAAGCCTCTCCTGGGAGGAACCCCCAGCACCTGCCACACCTTGTTCAGATCTGCAGGTGAATGAATGAAGACAGCGTTAAAGCATGCTATTTGTTTAACTCTGAACAGCGCACTACAATGTGAAAAAAGTGGGAATAGGTCTGCATTTGCCTTGATTTAGAGACACTTTCACCCCACCAGCTGCATCTTGGCTGAAATTTTAAATGTTAAGATATCTTTTAGACCCCAATAAAACAGAAGTGTTAGTTCCATTCAGTCAAGGCCCCACCTCAACAATGCTGGGGCTTGCAGCCATCCTCACCCCGCCAGTGGGTCCTCCCCAACCCCATCACTCAGGGCTCTGGGCAGGAAGGCGCACATTATCCTCCAAGGGGAACACCAGGCGGGTGCCCCGGCTGGAAACCTTTTGGTCTCCTATTCCCAGGTCTCGTTCCAGCACCTCCTCAGAGCTGCTCTTCATTCTCCGACCACCCTCGAGGCTCATGGAGGCCGTGTGGGACCCTGAGGAGCCATTCGCAGTCACTGCGCTATCCCCGAAGGTCAAGGTGAGGTCGCCCTCAGTCAGGATGAAATCAGAGTCTTCCTCTCTCAGTGGCTCTTGGTTCTGAAAAGTGCAGCAAACAACAGCAACATCATCAACCACATCAACCACAAATGGGAGACCAATATCTTCCCGGGCCAAAGCCAGCCCCAACTCCTTAATCTGAAAATGGGGATCATAAAACTGGCCTGCCTTGAGCCTCTAGTGTGATAAATGGGTGTAAACTCTAGAGTGCTAGTCCATGTAAGACTATTGCTGAACCAGGACTTTGAAGACCAGTGAGCAGTTCTGATTTTAAATGCCTGATAGCATAGGGACAAAAAGTAACAAAAGGGAAGAAAAGGTGATTAGCCTGGATCTTCAGCCTCTCTTGTGGCTCAGTGGTGAAGAATTCTGCAATGCAGGAGATGCGAGTTTAATCCCTGGGTTGGGAAAAATCCCCTGGAGAAGGGAATGGCAACTCACTCCAGCATTCTTGCCTGGAGAATCACATGGACAGAGGAGCCTGGTAGGCTACAGTCCATGGGGTCGTAAAAGAGTCAGACATGACTGAGAGACCAACACTTTCACTTTCAACCCAATAAGAAACGAATGGGTAAGGTCCTCGGGTGAACCTGCAAATTAGATTTTGGGCCTTCTCTTTTCTGGGAAAGTATTCTGGGAGGTGGGGTGGGCTCCTGCTCTACACAAACCATCCTAAACCCATCCGGTTTACATTTGAATTGCTCTTTGTCCTACTAAGCAATTGAGGAAGAGGTTGAGCCATAATTAGCATTTCCTTCTCATCCCCACAGAAACATCCTAATGGGAAGGAAGCCCTCAGGTAGATGAAGTGAGGAACTGAGAGGGAGGGGACGTTTTCTTGAGCATCTATTGTCCGCCTGTCACAAATGTCACAGAAGCTCTCATTTGATCCCTGCCCCTTCCCTGTGAAGGGCACACACACTCAGGTCACAGAGAAGAAAACTGGAGAGACCCCATGGGATCTGCCTGAGGTTGTCCAGCTGCTTGGAAACAGAGTTAGGATTTATGCTGCCACTAGACAGGTTCTCCCCACAAAAAGGATGTGAAAAATTACCCCATTGGGGAACAGGACTGGCAGGCATCTCATGCTAAGCAGTGGTGGTAACAGAACAGACAAAGCTGAGTAAAGCAGGCTAAATTAGCCAAGTAGCAGCCACTTGAAACTACAAGACTACAGGGAGAGCGTCAGGAAGCTGCATGGGGTCAGACACAACCTTTCACCCTCTGGATGGTTTTACAAGCAAAGTGAGGAGTGGTTCACTCCCTGCACTGCCGCCCACCCCCCAACCCCCCTGCAAGGCTGTCAAATACTGGGAACATCTTCCTTAAATGGCAAACACATGATTCCAAGCTGCTCCAGGTAAATGGTTCTTTCTTTCCTATTTCTGACCTACCTTCAAAGCACATCAGAAATCCTTTGGCCTCTACCTGAGAGGGTCTCCCTGGTGTAGGATGCCGAATCTGCCTCTCTGACAGCCATGTGGTCCCCACTCAGCCAGAGGTTCAGTCACACTCCCATGTTCAGGCCTGGGATCCTCATCTCTGTGCACTGGCCCAGGGAAGACCCTTGGGTTCTGCCTGCCTCACCTCTCCTATCCTGGCCCATCTCTGGGCATGTACTGGTGACAAGCACATGCTTGTTTTCTGCATTCTTACTGACATTGGGTTCTCCACTCTCCACAGCATCACTCCACTTAACCAGGGCTTTTAACAGGCAAGCACACAAGTCCTCTTGCCTTCTGCCTCCAATCCTCACTGGAATGAGGCAGGGTACAAATGTACAGTTCAATAAAAATCCTCTAGTCAGGCAGAGTATAATTCTAAAACTCACTCTAACCCGCCCCATTCTCCCATCTCCATTAGTTGTTCAGAAATTCCTGAAACCCCATCTGCTCTGTGATGGTTTTCTTAACAACAGATGGCATCATGTTCCCTGCTTTTAGCATGCTCCATGTCTCCCATTCATCCACATGCTAAGTAATGTTTTTGTTTATCTCTGTCAAAATCTCTCTCCCAGCCTCCTTAGCTCCCAGTGTTCAGGAGGAGACTCTCCTGGCACATATTTTGCTGTTTTGAGGTTTGGAGTCATGTGTGGACAGAGAGGAATACAGACAGAACAACTGCGTGCACAGGGAATTCCACAAATGGAGCTAAGCCACCCCCTCAGCAGCACGGACTTCCTCAATGGGAGCCCCGGGACAGCCCACTCTGACCCCTCACAGTGGGAAGCAGGGCCAAAGTTCACAGACAGGAGGAAACAAGACTGGATGGTGACCCATTCCACAACGAAACCCACAAGCCCAGACAAACAGTACCCTGGGAATGGTCACTCAGAAACGGGGATACAGTAAAACCCAGTGGAGAAGGATTTCCAGATTGATGCTTAAGGAATGTTCTATGTAGATGATAAAACCATCCCACCCCCTCTAATTCCAGACGACAGGATCAACAAATTTTTGTTCAGCTGAGGTTTGGGTTTCCAGTGAGGGCTGCTCTGGAAATGTGATGAAATAACCCTGCAGACACCTGCAAGCAAGAGTGTTGTGGGAATGTGTGCATTTAAATAGTCACAGGTGGTGCTAGTGGTAAAGAACCTACTTGCCAACACAGGAGATGAAAGAGACATGGGTTCGATCCCTGGGTCAGGAAGATCCCCTCGAGGGCAGTATGGCAACCCACTCCAGTATTCTTGCCTAGAGAGTCCATGGTATTCTGGTGGGATTCTGGTGAGCCTGGTGGGCTACAGTCCATGGGGTCACAAATAGTTGGACATAGCTGAAGCAACTTACCACACGTGCACATTTTCATTAAGTGGAAGAACACTGTTTTCTAGGCGGTTCTCAAACCTAAATTTTATTTAGAGTGAGGGCAAATAAGGAATAATGAACACCATCCATATCTCCCGAAGAACCCTGGTGAAGTATAAAGTGTCCTACAGGTGATGGGGGAGGGCTACCCAACAGTGTGTCAAACAGTCAAAAGAATGGCTCATCTGAGGCCCTCAGCCAGTACTCCACTCCACTCTGTCACCTCTGACTTTCTGAGTTAAAATTCCAAAGACTTTCTGCTCTCACTTTCTCAGCAGCAGGCCTCTCCATGTCCAGAGCTGAGACCCCAGTCAGGACCCCAGCTCCATGCAGTAGAGGCAGTATGGAGGGTGGTTCTAGCCTGTAGAGCAAGTCGCCTCATCTTGGGTTGGCTGTGGGGAGTCAACAGCCCAAACATGACCCCAGGAAGCAAACCTTGGGTAGAATCTTGAAGCGGTGAGGGGAGCACTTTCAATTTAAGTGCCTGGAAGTATATGGAGTTTACTCTGAGGCAATAGCTGGTAAGTTTCCAATTAGATAAGATGTATATAAAGTTTTAATAGTTGGTGAGTTATTTTACTATTACAGAGACATGAAAAGTGACCCTTGTAACAACTAAGAAAGAATGAAGGCTTTAGAAATTGCTTAAAAGACACTAGAGTTGGAAGGCCAAGACACAAGGAGGCCCAATGAAACAAACTCAGTGTGATCAGTCAGAGCTTCTTCAGCAGAAGAGATCAGGACATCAAGTCACTGCCCTTTGTTTCTGAAGACAGAACACATCCAAATGACCCACACTGTCACTTTACACAGAGGTCCAGACTGAGCAAAGTATTCCACACTCAAATAAAAGATTTATTAAATAAAATGGGGTGGTAAATCATAAAACTAACTTTTTAATCTATTGGTCTGTACCCTTCCAAAATAAAAGATAATTAGCATTATTATCTAGGCTCATATTCCGTTAAAAACTCACCACAAGCATTAAAAATCACTTTACAAAACCACAGGGAAATGGTGCTCTCGGCATCCGATCCATATTTTTTTTTTGTAATTTAAAAACAGTTTATCAGAGGTGGCACAGGAATTTCATTTTTATATGAGGAGGGGCTGGGGAAGCTGGAAGGCTCAACTGTCTTTGGTGAAGGAGACATTGATGCCATTCTCTGCCATGTTTGGTGGCAACTGAAAGCAAAGGCTATGGCAGAGCTGCAGTATTACCATGGCAACTCGGCCATGCTGTACTTACCTCATATACCTGGGGACTGGTTAGACATTGAGCGAGCAAGCCACACCAGGCTGGAAGAGTGGTGGTTAATGGGGGGCCACTGTGCGTGAGGATGGGCTTCAAGTAACTTTTAAAAATACAGTTAAGGAAAACTGCCTGTAAAGAGAACACACACCCAACAAAATGTGTTCAGAAATCCCAAGGAATAAATCATCTGGTATTCTACCCCTCTTTCCCCCGTTTTACCAGTACAATACAGAAAGTATGGTACTTGTAGTCTGCAAACATCTGAATCCAAGAATAAACCATACCCCATCACCCTTAAGTGTTAACTGTTAACATTCACATTGACAGTTCCCCATTTTCAGTTAAAAAGAATACTTGATTAAAATACCTTTCTCTCTTCTTTGTTATGGTGAATGAGAATTTTGGTTTTGATCAACCTTCCAGCTTTTGACATACAACCAGCTCATGTTTTGGAAACAGGAAATAGTGTAGCTGGAATGGAGATGTTACAGCACCTGGGTCCCCTTTGCTCAGAGATCACACAGTGGAAATGTTCGAGGTGGACAGGAACTTAGAGGACAAGACAAAATGGCTTCATGAAGGTCACTCAGACCTCAATCTCCCACCTTCCCATACTGGACTATTCTTCCTTCTACCTGCTGCCTCTCTCCCAGACTCTCCCAACAGTTTCTCCACCTTGATATTACTGGCATCATGGGCCAGATCACCTTTGCTGTGGAGACTGTCCTGCATTGTAGGATGACCAGCAGCATCTCTGGCCTCTACTCACTAGATTCCAGGAGCACCCCCAACCCCTCCCTCAGGTGTAACTACAAAAATGTCTCCTGACATTGCCCAATGTCCCCCGAGGAGAAAACTTGTCCTCGATTGAGCCCCCTGCTCTAACACAAAGGTCAACTGTTCTGTGGAGATTGGCTCAGGGTTTACCAACCTATGGATATGTGTGCTGCCAAATGCGTAGTCCTGTGTTGGAAGCACTGTGGAGTGTGTATCACTTTATGATGGAAGTGGGACCATTTCTGATATCCCCAGTGTAAGCAATGGGAAAAGGTGGAGACCAACAGGATCACTTCAGATACAGGAATGGCCAAGAGACTTTAAAGGCAGATGGGGAGTCACAGCTGTACTCAAGAGCATGACTGCTCTGAGCACCAGCAATTCCTGTCTTCATTCAGAGCAGCGTGAGAGAAAAAACAATGCTCTACCAGAGGAGATGGAAGGGCGACCCTGGGGTAAACTTCCAGCTGGGAATTACTCACCAAAGGAAGATATGTGGGCTCTGCTGGGATTCTTTATAAACAGAACAAGCTCTCTTTGCCTGCTCTCCTCATTCCTAGAAAGAGCCCCTTCAGGCCTATCAGTTTTTTTGTGTCTTCACCTCAGAAGCTGACATTGGCTGGAATCGCAGAATGACTAATACAAGAGTCCCAGAGAAGCTGGAGGCTGCCTTTCCTGTCTCGGGCAGTTCAAAGACAAGCTGCCTCTTCCCAAACATAAAAGGCCCTCTAACAAGTTTTTTTAAAAGGAGAAAAATATCTACAGACAGATTTTAAATATTCAAGTTGTTGGAAGGGCAAAAATGAAATATCAAACCTCTCTTCCACCCTGTCTTTCTGGCAATTGACCATTACAACTTTACAGAATACATTTTTTGCCTATTTCCTGATTTATGCACTATAGTCAGAAGCATTTAAGAAGGATGGTAAATTTAATTCATTTACATTCCTGCTTCTTTTCAATTTTTCCCTAATTTTTATTATAATTAATTTTATACTTTAGATATTTAACATTTGTGCTCTGTAACTAATAAGCAAATCTCTGCTTTGTCTATGGATTGAGCCTAATGTTAATGACCAATAAGTAGCACTTATAATAAATAATGCAATTTATGAATATTATTCACTATAACCAAGCAGAGTGGTTGGGACAGTATTAAAGTAAATGTAATACAATGTCATTTAAACTCTGTCAGAAGTGAAAATTTGAGTGTCCTGCAAAAAAAAAATCTTTTAAAATTTCTTTTTGATTTTATTTCTTCCGGGTTATAACAAATCACTTCTTCTTCAATGGCGTCCCCTTAGTTGTATATTGTTTTGTTTAATCCTTATGCTACTTTTCCCCCTTCTCCCAGAGGCTTCATGGTGCCAAACTTTCTGAATTCTTGCATGTTTGAAAGCCACCGTTCTTTTTTATTTTTGATTAATAGTTTGGGTGTAGAATTCTAAGCTCAGAAAAATTTTTTTCATCCTAGAACTTTCATTTTGTTGATGGTTTCCCTTCTTGTGCATAAATTTTTTAAATTTTATGTAGTCCACATTTATTTTTGTTTTTGCTCCCTGTGCTCTTGATGTCAAAGACCAAAAAAAAAAAAAAAAATCAGTGCCAAGATCAATGTCAAGGAGCTTTTCCCCTTTGTTTTCATCTAGGAGTTTTATGGATTAAGGTATTACATTTAAGTCTTTTAATCATTTTAAGTTGATTTTTGTGAGTTGTATAAGATGAAGTCCAGGTTCATTCTTTCACATGTGGATATCCAGTTTTCCCAACACCATTTATCGAAGAGGCTGCCCTATTCCCATTGTGTATCCTTGCCTTATTGTTCTTGCAAGGGTTTATTTCTGGACTTCTTATTCTGTTCCCTTGATCTGTGTGTCTATTTTTATGTCATTGCCATACTTTTTTGATTACTATACCTTTGTAATGTAATTTGAGATCAGGAAGTGTGATGCCTCCAGCTTTGTTCTTTTCCCTCGAAATTGCTTTAACTCTTCAGGGTCTTCTGTGACTCCATACAAATTTTAGGATGGTTTTCCAATGAAAAATGCCATCAGTTTGACAGAGATTGTACTGAACCTGAGGTTGCTTTGGATAGTACAGACATTTTAACAATATTAATTCTTCCAATTCATGAACACAGGCATCTTTCCATTTACTTGTGTCTTCTTCAACTTCTTTCATCAATGTTCTTTAATTTTCAGTATATAGACCTTTACCTCCTTGGTTAAATTTATTGCTAAGCATTTTATTGTTTTTGATGTTACTGTAATGGAATTGTTTTCTTAATTTCTTTTTTGGATAGTTCATTATTAGTATATAGAAATGCAATTGATCTTTGTATGCTGATAATATCTCCTGCAACTTTAATGATTTACTTTAAAAACTTAAAACAGTTTCTTGATAGAATCTTTAGGGTTTTCTATATATGAGATCATGTCATCTGCAGAGACAATTTTACTTCTTCCTTTCTGATTTGTATGCATTTTATTTCTTTTTCTTGCTTAACTGCCCTGGTTCGAATTACCAGTACTGTGTTGAATAGATGTGGCAAGAATACATACCCTTGCCTTGTTCCAGATCTGAGAGGAAAAGTTTTCAGCTTTTCATCACTAAGTATGATGTTAGCTGTGGATATGCCATTGCTATTGTTGTTTAGTCACTAAGTTGTGTCCGACTCTTTGTGACCCCATGGACTATAGCCTATCAGGCTCCTCTGTCCATGGGATTTTCCAGGCAAGAATACTGGAATGGGTTGCCCTTTCCTTCTCCTGGGGATCTTCCCCACCCAGGGATCCAACCCACGTCTCCTGCATTGGCAGGCAGGTTCTTTACCACTGAGCCACAGGGAAGTCCCAATGGCATGAGAGGAACTGGTAATTTTGTGTTTTGTGACTTGTTTGGTAATAGATGAGTGTACCTATTTTGTAATAACTCACTGAGCACTTATGATTTGTGTACTTTACTATATGTATCCTTTATGTCAATACAAAATTTTAAACATTTTCAAAATCTGCAAAGACCATATATAAGCTACCTACCCCTTTGATCACTATGTCAATTTAAGAAACAATGAAGGTATAACTTTTTGGTTTTTAATTCTCACCTGGGGCCAAGATAATCTACTAGAATAGAGTCTGCCCTGCATGTAGTCCAATGAAGGCAGGATCAGACTTGGCCAGATTTGGTTCAGCCAATAGGAATAATCCTTCCCACATGAATTACCTGGCCAACCTCCATTTCCATTCTTGACCACAGCATGGTTCAAGTGTAATTTTAACTAATTTACCTACATAGGCATATTTCCCTTGGACGCAAAGCTCTGAAAAGCCACGTGAGTCTACCAGGCTATGGGCTGGCTACCCTAATGATGTGCATGTTCCTCTTGGCTAGAGAGATGCTCGTTATGACTGCCTATGATTGAATGACCATTGCATGTGTCCCAAGAGAGGACTGGGTGCATCTGTAGCAAGCACACATCTTTCCTTACTCATCAGAAGTCATTCACTGACAACCCAACAAGAGAATTTCATCATCAGTGTTTCACAGATACAGGGAAGCCCCTTAAAAAGGATACTTGTGGTCAAAGCTGTACCACAGCCTGAATAGCCACGCACTCTCCTGCTTTGTTCGGTTTCCTCTGGCAGAATCTGAACCATCCTAGGAACAAACAAGAAGACAGATATTTAGTTGCAGAAAGGAGGTTGAAATAAGGAGGAAAGCTTCCCTTTTAACCACAGTCTTTAGAGATTTGAGCTCAGAGTCAAACCTCCTGTATCACCAAAATTTCAAAGATATATCAGGAGGTAATATTTTAACACATTATTGATCAGAGATGTATTAACATTATAGACATTAGTTTCTGCAAAAATCCCCCAGTCAATAATGTGTTAAAAGAAACTGAATAAATCCAAAGGTAGACCAATCAATCCCCAAAGAAAAAGGCTTGGTTATGTCTGGGGGTTAGATCAACTCAATGCAGCACACACTTTCTTTTGGCATTTTTTACTGTAATTTTCCTCAGAGTGCCTTTTGGCAGATTAATTACCCTAAAGTAGTCTAGATCCTAACAGGTAAAAATTAATTTTTAGAGAATACCAAAGAAAGCATCTGTAAAACCAACTTTCCAGGCTCCTCACCCCCCCAAGCTGGAATAACCAATATGGAAATGGCTCAGTTAAATGGGCCCTTCTGTGGATGAGGAAACAAAAAGGAGAGACCCTAGAGACCAATTTTATTTCACATTTTAATAAATTATGCGGGGGAAAGGGGGCACAGAATGTCTCCATTTACAGATAATGATCATTTCTTCAGCTAACTAATTGCTAGTCCAATAACAATGCTAGAGATATCTCATAATACCACATGATTGAGTGGAAAAGTGGGAGATGACCATTTTGAGAGATGACTGTTTTACAAAGAAATTAAATGCTTATTTATCAAGTGACAGGCTCTAAGTTCTTGGCTCTGTCTGTAGAATCTTACTAAAGACAAATCTAGCAAGATGATAAACATCTTCCAGAAGGATGCTATAAACCATCAGGCATAAGGCAAGTTCCCGAAAGTCAGTTTTGTTTTCTCTCCCACTAAAACAACAATAAAAATGGAAAACCCCTATTCCGTTATCCTAACCTCTGCACTGTCAAACCACAATGCATTCTCATCACCTGTAACACTTAAGTTCTTGCCATCTCACCTCAAGGAAGCTCAATAAGCCCCAAGAGGGACAATGAAAATGAGCAAAGTAAGGGAAAGGTTCCTTTCTGAAGGCAAATTAAGCAAATTTTTCCTTGGCCTACAAATCGATATGCCTGCAGTCCACAAATAAGATAAAGTGACTTCAGAAATGTAAGACACTAAGAATCAACCCTGAAAGGTTACAAATTCAGGGCAAATAAAAGGTGCAGCTCTGCAACAGGGGTGTTAAACACCTCTCATTCTAAGAGAAGGGACCAGAAGAGTGGTTATGGACAGGAGGAATTTGGATTCTTCCCCAAAGCCTCTGGGGAAATCAGGGAGGATCTGTGTGGAACAGGACTGATTTAAGTTGACCCAGAAGATAGCCAACAATTGTTTCCCAGCAAGATTTGGGTGGTGACCATGGACAAACTGGTGAGCCCTTGCTGTGGGCTCTGAGCCAGGGTCGGTATGGGTGCAGGTGATCCTAAAATATGCAGGGACTTGCTCTCACACCACATCCTCCTCAAAACCTCCATCCCCACCAGCAAACAAATACCACCAGCTCTGCTTATCACCAAATTGTTGAGCATAAAACTATGCGTGGCTTTTCTCCTGCATTCATTAAGCATCTATTGTGTGCCAGGCACCACGCTGACTGCTGCCAAACACAAAGAGGAATGAGACCCCACACCGGCCACTTGAGAAGCACATTTCCAGAGGAGGAGACAGACAGACCGATGTGTGTGTGGTAAAGAAAAAGAAAGCAGGTTAAAGACCTGGGCAGTGGCCAAAGGTCCTATTTTGAAATAATTTTTCTAGAATTAATGAATAATGATTTCTGGGAAGTTATATTTCATTCCATCCTTATGGTTAAAGATATATGTTTTTATGTTAAGGTCACTATAATAATAAGAAGAGCTTATTTTTTTTTTTCAGAGAGGTAGTAGAATACTGCCCTTCCCCTCAAAGATTTCTACATCCTAATCCCGGGAGCCTGAGTGTATTATGTTACTTGACAAAAGGGTCTTTGTGGATGGACTTCAGGTTTTCTAGGTAGGCCCAGTATAAACACATGGACCTTGATAAGTGGGGGGGGGGGGGAGGACGGTGGCAAGATAGTGAGAGAGATGTGGTGAGGGAAGAGGCAGGAGAGGTTCAGAGCATGACAGGGGCTTGCCCTGCTGGTGCTGGCTTTGAGGGTGGAGAGGCCAAGAGTCAGGAAATATGGGTACTTCTAGAAGCTGAGCTTGATTCCCGGCCAATGGCCAGCAAGGAAACAGGTCACAGGGACCTCAGTCCTACAAGTACGTGGAAGTGAATTCTACCAGCAACCTGAATGAGCCTGGCGATGGCTTCTCCCCCAGAGCCCAACCCCACAGACACCTTGATTTTGGCATTGAGAAACCTGAAGGAGGAAAGCCAGTAGAGCTTACCAGACTTCTGACTCACAAATCTATAGGACTGTGTTGTTTTAAACCACTGAGTTTGTGGTAATTTGTTATAGCAGTGATAACACACTAATGCAAAACTAGAGTACATAGTTGATGATGATGGGGGCCAAGATTTCTCAGAAGGGGTAACAAAGGGTTTAAAAACAGGAAATTAAGTGCTCAATTTTGGCCATCTGATGTAAAGAGCCAACTCACTGGAAAAGACCCTGATGATGGGTAAGACTGAGGGCAGGAGGAAAAGGGGATGACAAGAGGATGAAATGGTTGGATGGCATCATCAACTCAAGGGACATGAGTTTGAGCAAACTCCGGGGGACAGTGAAGGACAGGGAAGCCTGGCATGCTGCAGTTCATGAGGTGGCAGAGTCAGACAGACTGAGCGACTGAACAACAAAATGCTCTACACTGCCTCCACCAGGGCTTCTCAAACTGTAAACTGCACACAAACTTCCTGGGCCCTCTGCTAAAATGAAGATTCTGATTCTGCGGGTCTAGATATGGCCTGAGAGTCTGCATTTCTAACAAGCTCTCTGGTGATGCCCAGGTTGCCATCCATGGGTACACTTGGAACAATGGGGAGAGGCCTGTGGTACCTTGTGGAGAAGCAGACAAGACCCTCTATGATCTCTCCACCCTCATCCTTCATCACACTGTCACCAAGCCCTTAAGGAGAACGATTCATCTGTCTTGTTTGCAGATGTACTCCCAGAGCCTGAAAGAATGTCTGAAATATAACAGATGCTCAATAAATATGTGTCAAATGAATGAATAAATCAAGTTTTAACTTCTAAGGAAAAAAAAGAAAGGGAATCCGGGGGCCATGATGGGAGGCAATCAAAAAAAAAAAAAAGCATCATGGGGAAAGGGGTCAGAGAATAGTAATCTGAGCAAAGGCACTTGAGCAACTGTTTTGAAGTTAAAGATGTAAGGGCCTGGCTATCAGATTTCAGCCTGGAAGGAAGCTAGGGGAAGGACCCAGAAACAAACCCAACTTGCCCAGAAAGGTATATGTCAGTGCAACAGCTAAGTTTTTGCAGTTTTTAGTCACACACACACGCACCACAAACATAGCAGTTTCCCTTCCTCCACATTCCACTAATATCCTGCTTGTGACCTTGTCCTGCGGAGATGACAGGCGGGATATATTCAGATTCGTGCTCCAAGCTACTCCACATCAGCTGCATCAATGAGCATGCTTTTGTAAACTCGGGGAAGGAAATGAATGGTGTGTCTGCCTGTCTGGCCAACATAAATCTCAGCTGTGTCTGGCATAAAACATCCCCTCTTGAATGGGTTGGGAGGCCATCCCCAGGCCCAGGCAGCTTGCCTCCAGCTGGGCTTGTTTTTGTTTTGGTTGCAAAGTCACCAAGACCTCCGGAGAAACAAGGCAACAGTGTTTTTTGTTTTGTTTTGTTCTAATGAGTCAAACTTGCCAGGGACATGAAGCTGAAGTCTATCCACAATATTCTTATGCTTCCCTCACCCAGAGCCAAAAGTTCTGGCCAACAGCTCCCTTCCTTCACCCACATGAGCTAATATTCTTTGGTTCTGTAGCCATGACTCTGTTTATAATCTCAGGCTTGTAGCACTGGTAAGGAAAATGGTGCTCCTTATAAAAAGTGCTTTCCCATCAAATAGCACTTTTTTGTTTGCATGTTTGTTCATTTAGCAAGATCATTTAGAAATGAGGTAAAGAGAAGTGCCCTTTCTTTTCTAATGGGGAAAAAACATCTGGACTTTCCCAATCTCTGATTTCAGTTTCATGACAACACTGAGCATGTGACCTGGATCCAGTTCAGGGGAAGCTGTGAGAACCCAGGGTTTCACCCAAAAATGAGAAGCCCATTTACTTCTCTGTTTTACGGGTTTCTCATGACCACTGAGTGCTCCCAGCCCTATTGTTAATGGCTTATTGGAGCAAGAAGGTCAGGCCAGGAGGACGTGGAGAAATGAGGCCCTTTCTGCACAAGGGCATGAGTCATTTTTCAGAAGGTGACCTGAGAAACCAAGCTTGAAGTTCACCTTTTTTCTCCCCATCTGACAGAAAAACTCAAAATGCCAACAGACCTGCCTTTGAGGGCCTTCTGCATAATATGTATGAGGCTTAGAAGGCAGCCAGTTAAAGGGAAGGTGTGACACAGCTCCTGACTAGGGCCAGGTGAAGGGGCACCCCTGGGAGTACAGCAGAAGTGACTGTCACATGTGTGGTCAAAACTGGCCCAAAGGATGGCTTCCTAGGCTCACCCTGCCCAGGGCTGGGGTGCTATCTTAGCTATCACCACATGGACTAAATGCGCTGCCAAAACCCTTAGCACTTAGGATACACTGCTTTTTAAACACTTCCACAGCAAGTCTGTTATTAAGTCTAGCTACAAGCCCAGTGTCTCTGAGAGATACAGTAAGTTCAGCTACATGGAACCAATCAAACCATTTCACGTATTTCCTTTGATGGATGCTTAAGTCCAGAGGCAGGAGCAATTGAAAACAGCAAAAGGGCTAGCGGGGGGCGGGGGGTAAGGGTGTTGACTGGTTTGGAACTGTCAAGATGAAATTGCCCCAAGCCCTGGCTATCTAGCTGGTAGTAACCTGCTTTTCTTACAAAATTAATCTTGACTAGCCACAGGTCTAGGCAGGATGTGCTGTATCCTACCACAGCCATTACTTTCCTTTCAGTGAAATGAGGATGTCTATTACGGATTTCACCCAGCTTTCCTCAGATCCAAGTTTGGAGATACCCAAACTGTTAGATTCTAAGTTAGCTGCAAGAGGCACAGTTCCTGAACTCCTACTTTCTAAAGTCCTCAAAGTGAAAGTGAAAGCATTAGTTGCTCAGTTGTGTCCAACTCTTTGTGACTCTATGGACTGTTGCCTGCCAGGCTCCTCTGTCCATGGGATTTCCCAGACAAGAATATTGGAGTGGGTCACCATGCCCTCCTCCAGGGGATCTTCCTGACCCAGGTATTGAACCCCCGTCTCCTGCATTGCAGGGAGATTCTTTACCATCTGAACCACCAGGGACTTAAAGCTCTAGTCAAATAGCAACTTTTCCAAAGGAACTTCTCATTGGAACCACCACACATTCCCAAGTGGCACAATGGCCTATTCTAAGATAGTCACAAAGGTCTTCTGGAGTACCATTAAAGTGGGCACCAAATCTCCAATGAACCTCACTGAAAGTTCATCCCAAAATGCCTAGAACTTTCAGAGGTCCCTTATAGGGCCTCAACTGAAGACTGGCCCATCAGGCTGTGACTACCCTCACAGAGAAATACCTCAGAGAAAGCTGTGGTGGCACCCCTGGGCCCAACACAGCACCACATTTTGTGAGACTTTAAAATCTGATGTGGTTGCTGGAGTCATTTAGAAGATCCTAGGGAATCTAAGATATGCAAACTGGATTTGGGATTAACTGCAATGGTGAGTGTGATTCAAAGCTGACTGGAAGAAAAGAAACACTTGATACGGCTTTGCAGATGATACATGCACATGGTCAACAGAGCTTCCCACACCCTGTGCCACTCTTGCTCCCCAATCTTCCCATCAAATACCAATCAAGGCCCCCATGGGGCAGGCACTGTGCTCAGCACTGGGTATTCAACACTGAACAAAATAGTTCTTCATTCCCCAGGCCAAAGAAAAACATTTTGGAAGCAACTTTCTACTCCTATCATAATTTCCCTTTCCCCCACCATGCCTGGCCAGGGAAAGGGGCAAAACCTGGAGGTAGAATCACCCCACCAGGCCTACAGCAGGGGTGATACTCTGCCTCTGCTTCCCTGAGCATGCGCCTCCAGACACATTGCCTCTCTTGCATCTGGCACCACCCGGGTGCCTGCTGCCATTGACTTGGCCTCTGGAATTTCGAACCATGAGTTCCCATTCCCATATCCAAAAAGCACACATTCCTGTGTCCCATGGAACCTTTAACCACAGGGTACTCTTCCAAAGTGTCCAATGAAAGGCAGGGGGGCAGTGTTGCTGGGTAGTTTCCTCCAGCTTTAGAACATGACTGCCACTTTGCTGATGCTTGTTCCGTCCAGAGGGGATGGGCTCTATCTCTTTCCACTGAATCTGGGCTGGCTTGAGCAACTCGTAACCAAGAGAAAGTTCTGAAAGTGATGTTGTATGACTCCCAAGGTTAGGCCACAAAAGGCCACAAAGCTTCTACCTCACTTGCTGGGACATGGGCTTTTGGAAGCCTGAGCCATCAGGTAAGAAGTCCCACACCCTGAGGCCAAGGAAAAGCCATCACAGGCATCCTGCTCACCAGTCCTAGTCTGTGTCCTCCAACCCAGGTACCAGACGCAAGAGCAAACTAGCCTTTGGAAGATTCTAGCCCTCAGCTGTTGACTGACCCCAGCTTTTTTCATGGAGCACACGCATGCTGTCTCCACTATGCCCTTTGCAAATTCCTGACCTAGACAATGCATGTGGATGAGAAATTGTTTTCCACTTTCCCACGTTTGGGGCACCTTGTGATGCTGCAAGAGTAACTGGAGCCAATTGCAAAACCAATGGCCAGCCTAAGCCTCTACCCCCGCCCCCAGCACAGTCTCCATCAGGATTCTCTGCAGCAGCAGGAACTCTTCCCTGTATCACATGAGATAAAACACAGGGCTCTTGCCCTCACTGCTTCTATAACCTCCCTCCTCGGCACTCTGCTCCAGGCTGTCACTGCCGCCACTGCCTCACCCAAGCCTTAACTGTTAGTCTTGCTGCAAACTTCACTGTCTATGGGGCTGAGGGCTGCGGCTCTGCTACTATGGGACCATGGAGGCTGCCAGACCCTGGAGGAGCAGGAGGGCCAGCCGCCACCCAGCATCCCTTCTCTCTGGCTCATGCTCCCTGGACTGGAAAATTGATCGCATCCTTCTACTTCCCAGAACAAGCTACCATGAGCCAATTGCCAATGTATCCATGTATCCATTTTTGGAAGGGGAGAGTCAGGTTAAATGCTCTTTTTGGCCCCTTAATATGTTGTTTGAGAACAGGGACTCTGGAGTCAAATCCTGGCTCCATCATTTTCTAATCGTCTGACCACAGAGACACACTTTAACTCTCAAACTTCAACTTCTAATCTGTAAACTGGGCATAACAGTTCCTACTTCATAAAGTTGTTCTCAAGATCACAATGAGGGAATCCATGTAAACTGCTTGGCATGTAGCAAATGCTCAAATAAATTTAGCTATTTTTAATAACACCTTCCCACGAAGAAGCATCTTTTGTGACTTACCCCTTGTAAGACTTGGAAGCTGTCATTGTTGGGTGGTGGGTCTTGATCTGGGTCAACACCAACTCTGTAAGTCATCAGGGAGAAAGATAAGGAGAGAAAAACATAGAGTGTTAGCTTGGACCATGGCAGCCAGGCCAGTTGAAAGCAGCTAAGAGGCTGACCACCTTCCCAAGGTGGAAGGAGTGGTTAGCTAAAAGAAGGGGAAGGCTGTCATGCAGAAAGTTATGAGAAAGTAGTCGTACCACCCAGGGGTAGGCTGGGCAATTGATCTGTATGCTAACACCTTAAGCAAGACTTCTGGGGAATGATATAAGCAAGAAACTGTCTGTCTGCCTTTTTGCACCAGACGGTCCTAGGTAACCAAAGGCGGGTCCTGCCTCTTCCTGTCTGCTGCTTCCTCCCTTCCACCTGACCTGAGAACTCACAATTTGAGATCAATAACTGAAGACAGAAAGAAAAAGCAAGGTGGCAAAATCCACTAATAATGAATTCCATGAAAGCACTAGGGTTGTTTTCTTGGCAGCAACATACCAACTATTGCTCTATGTATCTGTTGATTCTTTATCCCTGAAACTTCCTCATTTTAAGGCAGAGAACAGTAGTACTGATTACATTGATAATATGGGGGCAATGGAGGAGAAAACAAAGATGCCAGGAAACAGTCCTGGAATCCAGGAAACGGAACTGGAGTTCACTTCTCCCTCCAGTACTGCAAAGAATGTGTGCTCAATCACTAAGTTGTGTCCGACTCTTTGTGACCCCACAGACTGTAGCCCACCAGGCTCCTCTGTCCATGGGATTTCCCAGGCAAGAATACTGGAGTGGGTTGCCATTTCCTCCTCCAGGGGCTTCCCAGGTGGCTCAGGTAAAGAATCGCCTGGCAATACAGGAGACACGGGAGACATGGGTTTGATCCCTGGGTCTGGAGGATCCCCTGGAGGAGGAATTGCAAAGAATGGCTGGTATCATAAAAGGAATACAAGAAACACAGCTTTCAGCACATCTGATTGGAGTTTGAAGAGAGCTGCCAAATGGCCCTGACCAGGGGTTTTATTTGCAGTCTGGAACCAGGGCGCTGACTGCGATAGACAGTAGATATGCAAAGCCCCATGTGTGCCTTATTTTCTCTCCTCTCCCTCCCGTTTCTCCACCTGTGATGCCCAGGATAGATCTTGAGAAATGAGACTAATGCAAAGAAGGAACAGAAGACAACATAGATGTACCCTTTTCTCAAAGGCAACCTCTACCCTGCCTTATTCCAGGCTTGCTGAGCACTAGGCCAAGGTTTGTGCCCCCAGATGGAGGTGGGAAGGTACAGAAGGAAAGGGAACAGTTACCCCACATTTTGCTGAAGGCAAAGTTTAAAAACTACAAGATGAATTCAAGTATTCAGCGAATATTTACTGAGTGCCTACAATGCCAGATCTTAATCTGAGCACTTAGTTAAAACCTGTAATGTACCTGGCACCAGATTTCCTCCCTGGGGACCTGAAGTTTGATGGGCTTTTGGTAGTGAGTTAAAAGGACTCTGTTTTGTCTAGAGGCTGCTTTCTGAGGCCTGGAGGCTTGGCCTCACAGTTGGACATTAGCCAGGGACTTTTGAGCATCAAACCTTTCAGAGACTTTTGGACGTGAAATTAATCCAATTCTGAGGCACCAGGGCTAGCTACCCACAGAGGTCACACGAGAGAGCATCAATGTGCCTGAAGAGTCTGACATACCAGAGGAGAGGTCACACTGGATTCCTAGCTGTCGATCTTTAACCCTCACCATTTTTGAGGGTCTCTTAATGTATGTTTCATAGAGAAAAGTCCTCTAAATGGTGTTAGCATCTGTAAGATCAACAGCTAAGAGTCCAATATTAGGCCTTGTTCTGTGGATTCTGTTGGTGAATGGAGCCACTTCATGGCAGACTCATTTACTTAGATGAGTTCCCTAGTAAAGACTCAGAGAGGGGCAGAACATGGGTTACTAGTAGTCTGTCTTCCAGACAGCCTTCCAGAATGCTCAGTGACACGGCAGCCCTCTGCCTAACCACGGACAGGCTATTGTGGAGGCAGGAGCATCAGAAGTTCAGATCCACCCAGATCGTCTCTCCTTTCTTGACCACAAATTCTGAAACAGGTGTATTAGCCTTTGTAAGTGGCTTCCACACCAGTAAAGACAGAACAAATGGATTTTATCAGCCTAGATGAAATAGGAAGCCTCTGGGTATGAGAAAAGGGCTAAGTGTGCCTTGTCCTACAATGAAGAAAACAAAGCCACACATAATAAAAGCTGCCAGATGAAATCTAGACACCTCGACTCTTTCCACTAACCTATTCTAGGAGAAGAGAACTAAAATAAATTCTGCTTAACAAGAACTGCTTATGAAGACTAGTGTTAGTTGCTGAGTTGTGGCCAACTCTTTACAATCCCAAGAATCATAGCCCACCAGGCTCCTCTGTCCATGGAATTCTCTAGGCAAGAATACTGGAGTGGGTTGCCGTGCCATCCTCCAGGGGATCTTCCTGACCCAGTGATTGAACCCTGGTCTTCTGCATTGCAGGCAGACTCTTTACCATCTGAGCCACCAGGCAAGCCCGCTTATAAAGACTAGGTTTGGACTATTTTCATTCAAGTCCTGGCAATGTAAGAGGAATTCATCTATTTAGCCTGTGCCCACATGGCCAGGCCAGAATTCAAACAGTGGAGCACAAAACATTGGAAAACACTGATAAATTCACAAAATTAGGCCCATCCTAACCTCATCTCAAACTTGCTTGACATTTTTGCTTGGGGGAACTTGAGAGTGATTTTAGATGCACATCATCCAGTAGAACTTTCTGCAATGATGGTGGTCTTCTAGATATACACTGTCCAATATGGAGGCCACTGGCCACATGTGGCCATTGTGCAGTTGAAATGTGACCAATAGGACTGAGGAACTGCATTTTAACTTTTATTTCATGTTAATTAATTACAATTTAAATTCAAACAGACACATGTGATGAGTGGCTAATGAATTAGTAGAGAGTCTAATAAGTACTGGGTTGGCCAAAAAGTTTGCTTGTGTCTTGAAAAACCCAAACGAACTTTTTGGCCAATCCAATACTAATTCTGGCTATGTCTCTCTAGCATCACTGTTTTCTCTACAGAAAAAATGACAACTGTCTGCTACCTTCTGCTACCTCAGTGACAACATCTGAGATTCTTACTGGGATCCTGTAGAGACACAACTCTGTAGTCCCACAAATATTAAATAAAAATTTGCTTGAACTGATTACTTGGACATTGGAGAGACTTCTCACTTCACCAGCATAGAAAAGAACACTGAAACTCTCTGAAAGTTCTTCTCTATAGATAATCATCAAAAACATGAAAGGAATAACAGGATTAGAAAATTACCAGTTTTTCACTCACAGGGTAATAATTGCTTCAAGCAAAGGTCATCAGAATATGATTTTACCAATGGGTAAAAGGCTGTTGGGAATCTAATTACTCATATGATGTTAAAGGCTTTCTTTAAAAAAAAAATAATTATTTGGCTGCGTCAGGTCTTAGTGGTGGCCTGTGGGCTTCTCTAGTTGTGGTGTACTGGGCTATAGAGCACACTGCTTTAGTTGCTCCAGGGCATGTGGGATCTTAGTTCCCTGACCAGGGATCAAACCCATGTCCCCTGCATTTCAAGGCAGATTCTTAATCTCTGGACCACCAGGGAAGTCCCTACAGGTTACTTGTTTAGTTACAAAGGGAAAACAGTGCTTTTACAAGTGGCAAGACCTGGGGTCTAAAGTGGTAAAATTGAACATCACTAATAACCAGGGATAGCTGGACAAGACGCACCACCTGACATGATGCAACAAGAAATGTATAACTTCCTTTCACGTTATTTTTGGCCAAAAATAAAATGATTCTCTATCTCTAGTCAAGAGGAAAACAAATCCAAAAATTCCAGATTGTAGAGCAGCAGTGGCCACAGGACTGGAAAAGGTCAGTTTGCATTCCAATCCCTAAGAAAGGCAATGCCAAAGAAAGCTCAAACTACCACACAATTGCACTCATTTCAGATGCTAGTAAAGTGATGCTTAAAATTCTCCAAGCCAGGCTTCAGCAATACATGAACCATGAACTTCCAGATGTTCAAGCTGGTTTTAGAAAAGGTAGAGGAACCAGAGATCCAACATCCGCTGGATCATCAAAAAGCAAGAGAGTTCCAGAAAAACATCTATTTCTGCTTTATAGACTATGCCAAAGCCTTTGTGTGGATCACAATAAACTGTAGAAAATTCTGAAAGAGACGGGAATACCAGACCACCTGACCTGCCTCTTGAGAAATCTGTATGCAGGTCAGGAAGCAACAGTTAGAACTGGACATGGAACAACAGACTGGTTCCAAATCAGAAAAGGAGTACATCAAGGCTGTACAGTCACCCTGCTTATTTAACTTATATGCAGAGTACATCATGAGAAAGGCTGGGCTGGATATAGCACAAGCTAGAAACAAGACTGCCAGGAGAAATATCAATAACCTCAGATATGCAGATGAACCCACCCTTATGGCAGAAAGTGAAGAAGAACTAATGAGCCTCTTGATGAAAGTGAAAGAGGAGAGTGAAAAAGTTGGCTTAAAGCTCAACATTTAGAAAACTAATATCATGGCATCCGGTCCCATCACTTCATGGCAAATAGATGGGGAAACAGTGGAAACAGTGGCTGATTTTATTTTTCTGGGCTCTAAAATGACTGCAGATGGTGATTGCAGCCATGAAATTAAAAGACACTTACTCCTTGGAAGGAAAGTTATGACCAACGTAGACAGCATATCAAAAAGCAGAGACAAAAGGTCCGTCTAGTCAAGGCTATGGTTTTTCCAGTGGTCATGTACGGATGTGAGAGTTGGACTATAAAGAAAGCTGAGTGCTGAAGAATTGATGCTTTTGAACTGTGGTGTTGGAGAAGACTCTTGAGAGTCCCTTGGACTTCAAGGAGATCCAACCAGTCCATCCTAAAGGAGATAAGTCCTGGATGTTCATTGGAAGGACTGATGTTGAAGCTGAAACTCCAATACTTTGGCCACCTGATGTGAAGAGATGACTCATTTGAAAAAGGCCATGATGCTGGGAAATATTGAGGGCAGGAGGAGAAGGGGATAACAAAGGATAAGATGGTTGGATGGCATCACCAACTCAATGGACATGAGTTTGGGTAGACTCCAGGAGTTGGTGATGGACAGGGAGGCCTGGCGTGCTGTGGTTCCTGGGGTCACAAAGAGTCGGACACGACTGAGCAACTGAACTGAATTAAACTGAATGCAAGACAATTATCCTGGAAATCCTTAAAGAATAAAACAAAACCTGAATGTCATAAGCGATCAAAAGGAGGAGTGTAGGATTATCCTCAATTAAAGGACTAAAGAGAGGACAACCAAGTCAGTCAGAGGAAGAGGGCACAGAGCCACCATGGAACTGAATTTTTTTGAAAAAGGAAAGCAAAAAAAGAGATGACAGCCAAAGGAAACTTTGATTGGATCCTGGATCATACATGTGTATATAAAATTTGGTTTACTAAAAGTATTGTGATCATGTAGAAGATTAGGTTCCTCGGGGATACATGCTGAAGTATTTTAGGGGCAGAAAGTCATGATGTCTATAATGTACTCTGAAGCACTCTGAAATGGCTGAGAGAAAGAGAGAAGAAAATGACAGAATGTTAACAATTGGTGTATCCAGGTTAGAACTTGGATATTCATTGCTCTATCAGCTTTTTTGCAGATTTAAAATTTTCCACAATTTAAAACAAACATTTAATTATATCTTTGGTGAAAATGTTTCACAAATATTGATACATGAGTACTCTTTCTGTCTCTCTGATTTAATCTAACTTACTAATAATGATGATTCAGGATCTCATATTAGTCCAGCGTCTAAAAACAACAAATTGTAAAGAATCATGGATGCAAGGTGCTAAAATAGGTAAATAGGTAGATATAGAGTCTAACAATTACACATTTTTCCCCCAGATAAATCCTCCAATCTTTTGTTGAGCTTCTTCTTCTCTTAAAAATGAAGGGGAGGAGAAAAATTCTACGTTACTGGAACATGTGGTTAATCTTCAGATCTGGTTGTGCACATCCCCTGGAAACCTACAGTTCTGAGCAGAGTCCTACCCAGCACCCCCGTTTCCTGCCCTTTCATCCCTCTGCTGTGGAAGCTCTGATCCTTGCTGTAGCCACTTGCTACCAACTACCTGACTGAGATGCAGCCCTATGCCTGACCACACAAAGCCTCCAAAGACTCACCAAGGCCCTCCTATAGACAGAGAAATGCAGGAAGGCCCCTTAGAGAGTCTCAGAGGTCCCTGCTACTGAACAGGGGTGCTGAACAGGAGAAAGGTTTACTACTGGGTTTTAAATGCCAGAAGAAAACAGACCAGGAGCCTTGTGACACAGATGGAGTTCTGCTCTTTCCCCATTCGAGGCTGTTTACTTCAGGACAATTGAATGATTACTTTTCTGGCAGGGTTGAGGAGCCCTTGGACCAATCCCCCAGGATGATACTAGATCCCTACAAAGGGATTCACCCTTGGGACAGGGCGTGTGGTGGTGTGCTGCATAGCAAGAAAGATCAGGTACATTATTTAAAGTATAATGCCTCAGAAGACTTGGAGCTCTCTAGCTTTCTGAAATTCCTAGTTTCAGGCAACAGTCCACAATATACATTTCCCTCCTATCCTATTATAATGCTTTTGATTTAGGCCATGGTATAAATCTAAAACTTTTGTGCTGGTTTATTACATCATATTTCAGCAGTCCCCTGATACATCAGGGTTGAGTTCATCTGACCACATCCAACAGTCTTCTTTCCAGAATGAACTGAATTATCCTTATTTTCATTAAGAATGAGACAAATGTGGTAATCCCATGCCAAATGAGAAAGTAAAGCAATCACACTGATGTGCTCATTCCAGAATGAATAAATACAGAATATGAATCATTTCCCTTTTGATATATGTACATTCTGATTAACCACCACATAAAATGCCACAAAAATCTCAGAAATTTTAGAAGCATTCTACTCTAATCAATAGATGGGTTTTTTAAAATTTGAATGGCTGAGGTCCTAAATAAATTTGGGGAATATGAGACACATGCATTCATATCAAATCTTAAACAATTGATCAGAATCTGAACTCTCTCATGTTCCAAGTGTAATAACTTGTACTTTGCTGGAAGGGCCTTCCTCCTTGAAGGTTGTATATTTCAAAGGAAAGGGTTTCCTCTGAAACTTAACTGGTACCTACAGTCAGGTCTCTAATATGAACATCTTTGTGTGTGTATTTTAGGGAAAAAGTGTGAATCCAGAGATCTTAAATGCTTCAATTAATTGTATGCATGTCATTAACAGTTTACATTTAGGGCCTGGCAATGTCTCAAAATTCATGTCCCATGACAGGTACTGTTGCTTTCACCAACTGTCCTCATAGAGTAAAACACTTTCACGAGAAGAACAGACTTCAAGGCTATTTTGCATTTGCTTTATATACCAGCACCCAGAATCAGATCAGGAAGAAAAAATACCAGTAAAAGGTCAAGAAGGGAAGAAGAAATATTAAAGTCTTTACTCTGATTGCCCAATATCACGACCCTTAAGCATAATCTGTCATAAATTTGGTCACTGAGAAACAAATTGCATTAGAAGAGTCACAATCTTCTGTTTTTTAAGAAAAATCTGTTTTTGTATCTTTTGATTCACCATGGTAAGGTACAACTTAAAAATCCATACTTCAAAACTAAAGCGGCATCAGTGCTTAATTAAGATGATGTAAACCATATCCCAGTCATAGCTGAAATACAAAATTTGAGTACTCTTTATGACTTAAAAGGCTTCTTTACTAGATCACAAGCAGGATTTGGTGGGGAAAGTGTTTGTGGCTCTGAAAATGGGCTACTTTTGACACTAAGCTCAGCTGTCAAGCAGCTACTCATCAACTCTGGCTTTGGTGCTGACAAAAACTGTCCAAAATGGGAAGGAAGGGGACAGACTCTCAGGAACATTGACACATCAATCAACTCAGAAAAGGGTAGAAGAACGATTAGACTTGACCAGACCTCTTGCCCTTTAAGGGGCAAGGGACTGTTGCACACAGGAAGAAAGAAAGAGACAAGTAGCATAAAGAGAAACATCTCAGGTTAGAGAGAGGGGGGAAAAAAGCCAGGCCCAGTTAATTTGCTTCTGAGGATGCCCTTGTGTCACCTGAAGTACTGCCAGCGGTGTTCGTTCTGGTCCTCTTCGGAGGGCTCCTCGATGCCAACTCTGGGCAGCAGAAGAAGGGAACATGAGTCTGACAGGGACCATGGGGGAGCTCTGGACACGTGACCTGGACCACATCCATCAAAGACCAGGCCATCTCACTTTACACATAAATTTGTACCCTCTCATAAATTGTCCCCATTCTCTGAAATCCAGAGAGGGAGCTAAATTTACGTAGAAAGCAACAGTGTTAGAAGCCAGGTCAAATGAGGATTGATTAGGAATGAAGATAAGCCTCTCAAAATACAATGAAATCAGGGGAAAAAATGCAACTCATAGAAAATGACTTCAAACTACTTTTCACAAATTCATTTGTTTCACAATGCAAGACACATCCATACAAAAACTAGAAAACAGAAAGCTATTGACATATATTTGAAGTGTTTATACACACTTTTACACATATTTGACAGGAAGAGCAAAGAACACAAAATTACTGAAAATGGCAACAACGGAAAATGAAATGGCCTTTTTTCCTACAAGTAATCACATTATCCATGGGTTCAACCTAAAGGTCAAGAACCCAACTTCGGCTATTTTCTTTATCTTATGGCCTCAAGAATTAACAGAGTCCATTTTCACCTCCCTCAATAATTGCTAGGTTATTCAGAATACATTAGAATTTTACCATTATTCTAATGAGCAGGATTTCACAATCTCAGTACTGCTGACATTTTGGGCCCTGGCTTTTACCTGCAACATACCACCAGTAGCACCTTCCTCCAGTTGAAGCAAACAAAAATGTCTCCAGACATTGCCAAATGTCCCCTGAGAGGGCAAAAATACCTGAAGATGAGAACCTCTGCACTAAATCTTGCATTCTCAATGGAGGGTGATACAGCCTCCAGGGGCATGAAAATCTGTTATTTAGGGACAAATTTTTTTTTTGATATTACAGTGGTTTATAGCCCTCTAAAGTTCCATAGTATATAAATAATATATAGATCTGTTGTATTAAAAAAATTCAATGGAAGAAACAGATAAAAAGAACATCTTTAAAGGTTCCTCAGAGGAACAGTGATGAAAAAAAGGTTGAGAGGCATTGTGCTAGAGAGTGCCCAAATTCTCATGCTACTAATATACACTGAAATATACAAGTGAGAACATGATGCTTCTTAAGGTGGTGCTTTTATTTTATTTTTATTATTTATCTTTTAATTTTTTTTTTATTAGTTAGAGGCTAATTACTTTACAATATTGTAGTGGTTTTTGTCATACATTGACAAGAATCAGCCATGGTTTTACATGTATTCCCCATCCCGATACCCCCTCCCACCTCCCTCTTCGCCTGATCCCTCTAGGTCTTCCCAGTGCACCAGGTCCGAGCACTTGTCTCATGCATCTAACCTGGGCTGGTGATCTGTTTCACCCTAGATAATATACATGTTTCGATGCTGTTCTCTTGAAACATCCCACCCTCGCCTTCTCCCACAGAGTCCAAGTCTGTTCTATACATTTGTGTCTCTTTTTCTGTTTTGCATATAGGGTTATCGTTACCATCTTTCTAAATTCCATATATATGTGTTAGTATACTGTAATGGTCTTTATCTTTCTGGCTTACTTCACTCTGTATAATGGGCTCCAGTTTCATCCATCTCATTAGAACTGATTCAAATGAATTATTTTTAATGGCTGAGTAATATTCCATGGTGTACATGTACCACAGCTTCCTTATCCATTCGTCTGATGATGGGCATCTAGGTTGCTTCCATGTCCTGGCTACTATAAACAGTGCTGCGATGAACATTGGGGTGCACTTGTCTCTTTCAGATCTGGTTTCCTCGGTGTGTATGTCCAGGAGTGGGATTGCTGGGTCATATGGCAGTTCTATTTCCAGTTTTTTAAGAAATCTAAGGTGGTACTTTTAATTAGGCACATGTTGGGAATGTGACTTAAACCAGACTTTATATATTACTATAGTATTGAAAAGCTATAACAAATTTCAGAAAAGCAAGCTGGATTCCGTAAATGCAAAATTCACTAGTAATAGTACTAACAGCAGTTCTAATGCTATGATTACTAATAATATTATAGCTAAAATATACTAAATGTTTTCCATATGCCAGATGGTACATTTAATGGGAGAACTCTTTATCACGTTTATTTAGTATCACGTTTTATGTTCATACCATTGTCATCCCCATTACCTGGTGAGGAAACTGAGAGTCAGAGAGGTTACCCAAGTTGCCCAAGGTCACAAAGGTAGAAAACGGAGGAACCAAGATTGCAACTGAGGCTGTTAGACCCAGAGCTGCAGTGCTACAACTTACAGGCTATTGCCTTTGACTATAAGGTGGCGTCTTTAAAGTCTTTTAAAATATCCAGATGCAAATGATATTACATAAAGAGCTCAGAGCTTCTCCTTGCCTTTATTCCTTAAATTATCTTACACAGAGCTTTATCTTAAACTCTCAGTGTGACAGGATTATACCTAGCAGAGTGTCCTTACTTGTCCTTGAGTGACTATGTTGCTGCACTCTGGGGTATGAAGGTTTTCCTGTTCATTTGGCTGCCTGGGTGTATGTCATTGATTCCCCCATCACCACCACCACGTCATGGGCATGTCACTTGAAACTGGGCCTTCCAAGAGGATGGCCACCATGTTACCAAAATGTGCTCAGGACATATACAAGGCTCATCTGCTGAATCTGCTCATCTGATGGTTTTTTGAAGTTGCCAAAATTACACCTTTGTGAATAACAACACTTGCTCAAGAGACTAAAAAAAATATTACATAGTTTATTGCTCAGTTGTGTCCGACTCTTTCTGACCCCATGGACTGCACCTGTCAGGCTCCTCTTTCCATAGGATTTTCCAGGCAAGAATACTGGAGTGGGTTGCCATTTCCTCCTTCAGGGGATCTTCCCAATCCAGGGATCGAACCTGAGTTTCCTGTGTCTCCTGCATTGCAGGCAGAATCTTTATAGCTGAGACACTGGGGAAGCCCCCATGTAGTAGTTTACTACCAGAAAGCAATTTGGGAACTTTGTCATCATGTTTTAAAATAGCAATCACATGCTCAATATCGCTAATTATTAGAAAAATGCAAATCAAAACTACAATGAAATATCACCTCACATTGGTCAGAATGGCCATCATATATTTTGTGTCCCAAATCATTTTGTGAGGTGAGATTACCCTGATACCAAATCGGACAAAGGCAATATGAGAAAAGAAAACTGCAGATCAGTATCCCTCATGAACATAGACACAAAAATCCTTAACAAAATATTAGCTAATAGAATTCAGCAATATGTAAAACATTTATACAACCAAGATTGGTTTTAAAGAAGCAATGCTGGTTCAATATTTTAAAATTAATCAATGTAATCTACCATATTAACAGGCTAAACAACAACAAAATATAATGATATGAACTAATACAGAAAAAGCATTTGATAAAATTCAACATCTGTTCATTATAAAACCCTCAGAAAACTAGCAATTAGTGGGAATGTCCTCACATTGATGACAAACATCTACAAAATCTCTATAGACTTAACATTACATTTATTGGTGAAAGACTGAATGCTTTCCCCTTAAGACTGGGGACAAAGCAAGGATTTCTGCTCACATCGTTCTTGTTTAACACAGTTTTGTGGACACCTTATCTTCAACAAAGGAGGCAAGAATATACAGTGGAAAAAAGACAACCTCTTTAATAAGTGGTGCTGGGAAAACTGGTCAACCACTTGTAAAAGAATGAAACTAGAACACTTTCTAACGCCATACACAAAAATAAACTCAAAATGGATTAAAGATCTAAATTTAAGACCAGAAACTATAAAACTTCTAGAGAACATAGGCAAAACACTCTCCGACATAAATCACAGCAGGATCCTCTATGACCCACCACCCAGAATATTGGAAATAAAAGCAAAAATGAACAAATGGGACATAATTAAACTTAAAAGCTTTTGCACAACAAAGGAAACTATAAGCAATGTGAAAAGACAGTCCTCAGATTGGGAGAAAATAATAGCAAACAAAGCAACAGACAAAGGATTAATCTCAAAAATATACAAGCAACTCCTGAAGCTCAATTCCAGAAAAATAAATGACCCAATCAAAAAATGGGCCAAAGAACTAAACAGACATTTCTCCAAAGAAGACATACAGATGGCTAACAGATACATGAAAAGATGCTCAACATCACTCATTATCAGAGAAATGCAAATCAAAACCACAATGAGGTACCATTACACACCAGTCAGGATGGCTGCTATCCAAAAGTCTACAAGCAATAAATGCTGGAGAGGGTGTGGAGAAAAGGGAACCCTCTTACACTGCTGGTGGGAATGCAAACTAGTACAGCCACTATGGAGAACAGTGTGGAGATTCCTTAAAAAACTGGAAATAGAACTGCCATATGACCCAGCAATCCCACTCCTGGGCATACACACCGAGGAAACCAGATCTGAAAGAGACAAGTGCACCCCAGTGTTCATCGCACCACTGTTTATAATTACCAGGACATGGAAGCAACCTAGATGCCCATCAGCAGACGAATGGATAAGGAAGCTATGGTACATGTACACTATGGAATATTACTCAGCCATTAAAAAGAATTCATTTGAATCAGTTCTAATGAGATGGATGAAACTGGAGCCCATGATACAGAGTGAAGTAAGCCACAAAGATAAAGACCAATACAGTATACTAATGCATATATATGGAATTTTAAAAGATTATAACGATAACCCTATATGCAAAACAGAAGAAAAGACACAAATGTACAGAACAGACTTTTGGACTCTGTGGGAGAAGGTGAGGGTGGGATGTTCTGAGACAATAGCATTGAAACAAGCATACTATCAAGGGTGAAACAGATCACCAGCCCAGGTTGGATGCATGAGACAAGTGCTCAGGGCTGGTGCACTGGGAAGTCCCAGAGGGATGGAATGGAGAGGGAGGCGGGAGGTAGGATCGGGATGGGGAACACATGTAAATCCATGGCTGATTCATGTCAATGTATGGCAAAAAACCACTACAATATTGTAAAGTATTTAGCCTCCAACTAATAAAAATAAATGAAAAAAAAAAACATAGTTCTGATGGCTCTAATCAGAGCAACAAGTCAAGAAAAGGAAATAAAAGGGACACTGGTTGGAAAAGAAAAGATAAAACTGTCTCTATTTGCAAACTACCTTCCTAGAACTAATATGTGAATTTGGCAAAGTGGCAGGATATGAGATCAACCCACAAAAACTAACTATATTTCTATATCTTGGCAATGAACATATGGAAACTGAAATTGAAGATAGAATAACATTTAAAATAGCTCAAAAGAAGAAGAAATACCTAGAAGTAAATATAACAAAATGTGCACAGACACTGTATAATGAAAACTATAAAATATTGATAAAAGAAATCAAAGAAGATCAAATAAATAGAGAAACATGTCATGTTCATGGACTGGAAGACTCAACAAGGTAAAAATGTCAATTCTCCCCAAACTGATAAATCAGGTTTAACACAATTTCTTTGAAAACCCCAGCACAATTTTTTTTTAGGATGTGGACAAGCTCATTCTAAAATATATATGGAAAGGAACTAGAATAGCTATAATAATTTTGAAAAAGAAGGATAAAGTGGAAGGACCCACTCTACCTGATGCTCAAGTTGAACATATAACCATAGTTATCAAAACAGTATGGTTCTGGTGGAGGTACATACATATAAATCAACAGGGCAAATAGAAACAGACTCGCATACATACCACCAACTGATTTCTGGCAAAGGAACAAAAACAATTCAATGGAATAAGGACAGTCTCTCTAACAAATTGTCCTGGAACAACTGGATGAAAGTGAAAGAAAAAGTCGTTCAGTCAAGTCTGACTCTTTGCGACCCCATGGACTATACAGTCCATGGAATTCTCCAGGCCAGAATACTGGAGTGGGTAGCCGTTTCCTTCTCCAGGGGACCTTCCTGATCCAGGGATTGAACCCAGGTCTATCACATTGCAGGTGAATTCTTTACCAGCTGAGTACCAGGGAAGCCCAGAACAACTGGATAGCAACAGACAAAATAAAACTTAAACCTGAACCTCATGTTTAATATTAAAAATTAAGTCAAAATGGATCACAGATATAAATGTAAAACATAAAACTAAAAAATCTTTTAGAAGATAACATAAAAGCAAATCTTTGGGACTAGTGCTTGATGAAGAGTTCTTTGGCATTAACACCAAAAGCATGATGCATTTTAAAAAAGATAACTTGCATCTCATCAAAATTAAAAGTTTTGCTTTATGACAGACTCTGTTAAAAGGATTAAAAGACAAGCTACAGAGTAGGAAAAAATATTCACAAAACACATATCTGAAAACAGACTAGTTTCTAGAACAAATGCAAAACTCAATAAAAAAACAAACAATACAACTAGAAGATAGACAAAAAACTTGAACAGATATTTCACCATAGATATTCAACATCATTAGCCATGAGAAATGCAAATTAAGACCACAATGAAGTATCCCCACATACCTATTAGAGCAGGTAAAATAAAAATGTCAATACCAAATGCTGGCAAGGATGTGGAAAAATTGGATCTTTCATATACACAGTCATTTTGTGACCTTTTATCATGTAGGAGCTGTTATTTTTTTTTCACTTTTTTTAAATTTTTTTTATTAGTTGGAGGCTAATTACTTTACAATATTGTATTGGGTTTTGTCATACATTGGCATGAATCAGCCATGGATTTACATGTGTTCCCCATCCCGATCCCCCCTCCCACCTCCCTCTCCTCCCAATCCCTCTGGTATTTTCAAGTGCTAATTTATATATCACTGTAATATTTTCACAACAATCCAATTATTATATGTGTACATATACAGCTTGTGTGCATCAGGGAAAGGGGCCCATGCTCTCAGCTCTGGGCAGAACTATTTCAATGGTCCAATTTTTGAAATGGGTTTGAGAATGGGCAAAATGTCAAAAGTCAACTCTCTACTCTCATTGTATAATTATTTGGTCCTATATATAATGAGAGGTGGGGTCATCAGAAAAGGAACTTATGAAATAGCCTGAAAAACACGATTTAACCTGGCTCTGAGCATCCAGGGCATCTACTGGGTGACAAGGTAAACTGGAGCAGGAAGTAATCACAGAGAGGTCACCAAATGCAGATTCTCAACTGTATGCAGGGTAAACCTTCTTTGCTCTTATTTTGCTACACAGAACAGAGATGGTACCATCTTATGTCTCAAGTTTAAAGCCAAAAATCTGTACGTTTTCTTCTTCAGATTTCTATTTCCATAGATGAACTATTTTCCTTCATGTGACTCTTGAGATTCATACCAAGAAACTGAAATTCTAATCATCCCAGATTTTCTAACACAAAAACAGTTACTAATACAGCAAGCCTTTTGGGCAGTATAGTACAGTAGTAAAGAGCATGCCAGGGTTCAAATCTCAGTTTGTTCACTTACAGCTTTGTGACCTTGGGCAAGTTACTGCTCTATGTCTCAGTTTCCTCAGCTCTAAAATGAACATAATAGTATTAGCTCCCTTATAGGAATGCTATGAGGATTATCTTCATGTAAGTGTTGGCATCTCAAACAACAGCTGCAGCACAAGTGTTAGCTATTAGAAGACTCTTACTGATAAGTCCACCCAGGTTCTGCAGACCCACCCAGATCTGAGGCTGAGATGCAGTAGCTCAGAAATGGTGCAGCCAGCACCAACAACTCCTGGTGACAACCAATGGTGGCCATGCCCAGCAACCCCTGCCTCCCATCAATATAAAAGTTCCAGAGGGGAGGGACTATTCTCTCAAACCCGTTTTCTCCCTGACCCCAAGGATCACTGTAAGATCCTTGTTGGTTCTTTCTTCTCCAAACTAGGTGTGCTCCGCAGTTGTCAGTTCCACACAAACCAGCAGCCAGCAGAGAAAGGGAAAAAAAATTGCCATCTTGTGGATTTTCAGAGAATCCTTCATACCTATGTGCCACTGGAGTCTTCTCATCCCCAGCATGCTTACCCTCTGCAGATCTGAAACTGAAGCAGGTGGTGAGAGCACCTCCAATGATGTAGAGTGCACACTCAGAGCTAGAGGGACCTGGAGAAAAGCTGACAGCATGCTTTCGTTTAATGTGAAGACATATGGAGGCCCAAAGGCATGAGGAACTTGTCTTAAACCAGGGCCAGAGTTAGTGTATGGGTCTCTCAACCCATTTCAATGTCCTCTTTACCGTAAGATGCTGGACCAGCTCACAAGCACAGCTTGAAATTCAAATGCTCTTAAAAAAACCTTAAACTTGGGTTGCTCCTCCATCCTGACACAGCTAACAAAACCACAGGCAGGGGATGTCCATGAGGCTGCAAGAAATGAGGGTGATGCAGGAAATGTCACCTCTTTTGTGCATGCAAGCAAGAAGAGGCACAGCATAGTTTCCTCCTAAAATAAAACTCTATTGCTTCTCCTTACTTCCAGCTGATGAGCTTATTTTTCAAGGCCATAGATTTGATTTCAGAGGAGTATGAAATGCCAGACACTGTCAGCAGCTATGTCTATTCCCTGTCCTGTAGCTTTAAGACTTTTTGAATTCCTGCCTTAATGTCTCAGCGTTAGCAAGGTCCAGGTTTTTCTTACTCTGCTTTTGTACCCACAAATATTTTAATGATTTTTTTTCATGGAAAATTCAATACTCTGAATTTTTATTTATTTTTAAAAAATTTTAATCCTTCCCCAAATAAAACAAAAAAAATAAAAGGCTTCCATGTGCTAAGCTGTATGTAGCAGCCTCTGCATGGGAATAGTGATATAGTTAGACACAAAACTGGCCTTGTTTCAAACCAACCTTATATTAAGCCATGACAACATGGGTGTCGTGCCTCCACCAATGATCCAGACAGTGAAGAAGACGATGAGGAGAGTGGTCGTGAACATCATCTGGCGTGCGTAGGATGCTGTGTCTCGGATGGCCAGTGCAAATGCCATCGCTCCCCTGAGGCCTGTGGGGACCAAAGAGGAAGCTCTCTTGTCATAAATAACAATGTGTCCCCAGGCCCACTGCTTAGTCACACAGGTCTAATAAATTGTATCTGCTTATGCTTCAAGAGTCAATTTGTTTTCTATAGAAAGAACCTTAAAATAATTTAAATGATTTCCTCCTATTTAAAGTTTTCTTTTGCAAAATGCCCAAAGGCAATAAGAAATTTACCGCCCTGTTTTGTACAGCTCATTGTGAGAATCCCATATGTGAATACCCCATAGTCTGGAATCTAATTTGGTGTGTGGCTAAATTAACAACTTTTATAGATCTGCTGAGAGTACCTGTGAAGCTTATCCCATACCCGTGGAATAACACTGATGCTAGTATCTGGCAATCAGCAAGAAACTCAAGCACCAATGTCCACTCATCAGAAAAAGTAGAAAAATACAACTGCCCATCAAACCAAATGTGCATATGGCCTTGTTATTTTGTTGCTCAGTCATGTCTGACACTTCTCCTCTGTCCATGGGATTTCCCAGGCAAGGGTATGGGGTGGGTTACCATTTCCTTCTCCAGGAACCCACATCTCCTGTATTGGCAGGCAGGTTCTTTACCACTGAGCCACCAGGGAAGCCCCTTAGAATAATAACACTCTTTCATTACTGAAAGAATTTTCCTGCTAGTAACATGAAATAAAAAGAAATATAAATAATAATATAAGTTTTCCAAGTCTGTGATTCAAGCACTACCCAAGTGCTATATAGTCATTATAAACTTAAGATACAGGCTAGGTATGAATATGTGAAATGTACAAAACAGCATTTCCTTAGCAAAGCCAGGCAGATAAGTAACAATATAACCTGATCTATATCAGGGGATGAAGACTTCTTCTATAAAGGGTCAGATACTAAATATTTTAGGCTTTGTGGGCCAAGAGGAAAAATCAAGGATATTATGTAGATATGTACATAAAAAGAGAAAAAAAACAAATTTCCACAAAATTTTATTGATAAAAACCAAAAGTATAATAAGTGTAATATATAAGTACCCTATTATAAGAGCTTCCCTAGTAGCTCAGCTGGTAAAGAATCCACCTGCAATGCAGGAGACCCCTGTTCAATTCCTGGCCTGGGAAGATCCACTGGAGAAGGGATAGGCTACCCACTTCAGTATTCTTGGGCTTCCCTGGTGGCTCAGATGGTAAAGAACCCGCTTGCAATGTGGGAGACCTGAATTCGATCCCTTGGTTGGGAAGATCCCCTGGAGGAAGGCATTGCAACACACTCCAGTATTCTTGCCTGGAGAATCCCCATGGATAGAGGAACCTGGCGGGCTATAGTCCATGGGGTCACAAAGAATCAGACATGACTGAGCGACTAAGCACAGTACACAGCATAAATTCCTATTCACCATGGGTAAGACTGCCTGTATAGTATGAGAATGAAAAGTTATACTCACTATATTTATTTGTATATTTTCCCACTTTTCCCAACAATTTCATGATTTCATTCATCTGAGAACTTCACTGCAGTTCACTGGAGCAACTCAATAAAAGTTATATTAGAAAACAGAGCAAGGTTGATGTTCTCTATTAATTTGTCCTATTGAAATACTGACACACATCTAGATCATCCTACAGCCAGCTATGACACCACTTAATATTTCAACCTTTAAATGGATGCTATCTCAAAGAAGAAAACCTGAGGATCAGAGAGTGATAATGTGTGCTCCATTTTTCTTTATTAGGTAAACAATGTAAGTGATATGAAAGTGGTATTTCTTTCATAGCCTTGAGGAAAACAATTTTGATAGGAGATATCTTTAAACAGTACTGTGTATCTCTCAGTCTTTTAACACAGAAGATGATGAACACAGTTTATCTACGTGACCAAGTTATCTCCAATTCATCTTCCTCTTTTCCACTGGCATTTTTTATCATATGTATGGAGGCTCTGCTCTGTCTTGCCCTCCTGAGAAGCCTCTAATGTTTCCCAGATGCTCTTGAATAAAAGCCCAACTCTTTGGCATGGCACTGGGGCTTCTCTGTGGTCTAGACTCCAGCAGTGATTCTCAAAGTGTGGTCCTCAAACCACCATCAGCAGCAGCAACAGCTGAGAAAATATTAGAGCTGCAAATTATTGGGGCCCACTCCATTCCCTCAGAATCACTCTCTGGTGGTAGGGCCCAGAAATCAGCTTTAACCAGCCCAATAGGTGATTCGCATGCAACTTGAAGGCTTGCACCAATTCACATGAAATTTCCCTTTCCAACCTCACCCGCATTCTGCATTAGCCTGGATGTCTCATGTTTAAACCAGACTATTACCCTTCCCTAAAAAGGCCACACACATCAATGCTTTCCTGCCCTTCCAACCTGCTGCCTCCTGAAGTGCCACTGCATCCAAGCCCAGTTGGAAGGCTACGCACTGGATGAAGATGGCCCTGGGCCCTCCTTTTCTCCACATTTATGCCACATCTCTTGTGTGCAATTCACCACCCTCTCTTGGGAGAAAGTTAGCTTTTTGTATAGTGTCTCCCCTCAGTGGACTGTGAGCTCCCTGTGGACTGTGAGCTGGTTTCTATATCCTCCACAACCTAGAAGCATGGCTTTTATGAAGTGAATGCCCAATAAACGTGTGTCAGAGTGAAAGGAAATCTTTAGGGCTGGTTGTGTACTTAAATGGAGATGCAAGGGAGTACTAGACAACACAATTGCTTTGCTGAGCAGTGCCTAATGATATGATTTCAGTATGACTCTCTGAAGCCTCCAAGAACTACTGTGTGGCAGTAAAGGGCTGCCACTTGCTGTCCCTCTTGTACATCCCCTCCCCCTTTCCAGACAGAGGTACCTCTAAGGGTCACAGTGGCCTTTTGCCCCACTATCTTCTCCCTCTGCTCTGCAGGGATGCTCTTACTTGAGTCTTGTCTATAAAATTGGATGTTTTCCACTCTCACTGAACCATCTGCTCATGCCAATTGCTCTCTCCTTTCTTTTCCTTCACATATTTCTTTATTATCCTTTGTCTCTTCAATGGCTTCTCCACTTTTCTCGGCTTTATAGTGAACAGGGGGCATCTGGGAGACAGTGTAAGTCAAGCAGAACTATCATGGCTCTTATCTTCCAGTGTGGGATTCATCTTGCTAATGTGAGTATATTTTATATCTGAGAAAGTTAGAGCTAGGAGGGATCTCAATTGATTATTTCAATTTCATTATGAGAGAACACTGAAGCTGGGAGGTGTCAAATAATTTGGCCTGTACTCTTCATCATTAAAGACTTATTCTCCTTCTAATTATAGGTCTGAAGCCCTTCTGGAAGATTAAGGGTTATGAATACCCACTAGAAAACAATCAAGCACTCTAAATACATATATATATCCAGGTATATATCTCCTTGGGTGGTAGAGATAAACATGCAAATATTTTAGAGGAAAATGTTCACATGTGATAGTATGGTTTACAAAATCAGTATCAGCTCTATTTAATATGTCTGTCTGTCTACTCGGCACTGCAGGGGATCCCAAAGAACCAGAAACTTGAATTTCTGCCTTTTTATGAATCTTATTGATTGCATTTTAATCATACTTACACTGCCTGCTTATAAAACTCACTTTATTGACTTTTTTACCTGAAAACATCATCATGTGTTGAAAATTCCAGCCAATCTTGTGCCTTCTGCCCAAGTTGAGGAAGAAGGAAAGTGGGTAGATGTGGGCAGCTCTGCCCAAGAAGATGGCAACCTGACCACCAGGTGGAGGTTAAGGGCTCAACATGTTTCCCAAATGGCATTTTCACACCACCTCTGATTGAGCAGAGAATTTCAGGAATGCCATGACACTTTATTATGATCAGAAGAGTTGAACAGAGAAGGCAGGCTGTCTCATTTGCCTCTAAACAAGTCTCAGCAGCAAGTGGGATTCGACTGGCCAATTTTTCCAACCTCCAGCTCACAGAGATAATTTCTGGCCTGTTAAACACACTGCTGTAACTTTTTGATCTGATTAAACTGATACAGACCAAGTCTCTGATCTATCTAAAAAAAAATGAGTCCAGAGAGAAGCTAAGGCACTATGACTATGGTACAGAGTTAAGAGAAGTAAAGAGTGTGTTTGGACTCTACTGGGAGGAAAAATAAATCGTAAGAAGAAAAAAAATTACTAACCTGAGTCAAACTATAAACAGAAGGTTTGCTGGGTAAGGTTGTAAGCTTTGGTAAACATTCGGGGTGTGTATGACCAGGAAGAGCCTACAAGTAAGAGGTGGAGAAGCTTACAGTATTTATACAATGAAGACACATTCATATTCCTCACAAGGATCAGCCTGGGGAGAGTTCTCTGCCAAAGTGGCTAACATGTCTTTGGGGAGGTAAGAGATGGAGGAAAGGCAGAGTGTGGAAGAGGAACTCACTGCGCAAACCAAAGAATTCAGGGAAACTGGTCATTCATCACTTGCTGAGTTTAGAACAGAGCCCAACAGAGAGAGGCACACTGCCCTGCTCACAGCAGGAAATCACTGTGCAAGCCAGAGGAACAGGGAGCTTCCGTTTCAGCAGAGCAACCACCAGCTGCCGGAGCTGCAGCTGTTTCAGACAGAAGTGAGGGTGGGACTCTCTTCTGCCTTCCCTAGTATATAATTCGAACTTCTCCTCTGCTTCTTTTATCTCTCTCCCTTTTTTCCTTTTTGCTACTGTTGTGTTTGTTTTGTTTTTAACAGGAGGGAAGAGCAGTCCTCAAGTGGAAGTGGCCTTCAGGATTCACAGAGGCCCTGGCTCCCCCCTGAACAAGGCCCCCCACCATAAACCAGGGCAATGCTTTCACTATGTCTCACAGGATGCCATGCTAAGAATATAAATCACAGCGACATGCAAGGTCTTTCTTAAGAATAAAAACACTGATCTGCCAGATCTTTAGCTCTTTGTCTGGTGAGTGTGTAAACCTAGGAAATGAGCCCAGTTGAAGCAGATAATACTCTTAACAGGCAGGAGTCTGGCATGGCATGAGGCCACTGTCTCTCTCTTTAGCTGCTTGGTGAGTATCAGTTATTCCTCCACAATAAGTGAAAAGCTCAGAAGAGAAAAACACTCCTCTTTGGGGGGCTAACATCCCAAGATCTAAGGATACCCATGAGGCCTCAGAAAAGGCAAAAGGGAATAGGCAGCAATAGTGGCCTCCTGCTCTGGGTTTGGAGCTGAACTGCTATAGTTTCAAAGCCCAAAAGAGTTCACTTTAATGAAAACAATAGGGTCTGAGGCCAAGAGAGCAAAGCCCTCATCTATCAATGCACTGCTGGGCATTCATGTATCTCCTCACTTCAGAGGAGCCAACCCCCAAACTGTCTCTCGTCCAAAAACCTGCTGTCACAATGGGACTAAATCAAGGAACCAAGCATTTCTCCATTTTATCTTCCATTCCTCTCCATTTCCTTTTTTGAAAAAAAAGGAGGGGGATCTTTTCCACCATGGGGAGGTGTGGGTGAAAGCACACACACCACATGTAGGCTGCCTGTAACCGCGTGCAGTTGAGAGCAAGGGTCACAGAAACTTAACCTCTTGGATTGGAATTCATGTGCCAATGAGAAAAAAACAATTTGGGAGGCAGATATGGGCTGTCGAGTTTTAGATCTCTTAGGAAAGATGCTTTACAAAACAAACTACCACCTGCCAACCACCTGTGTAACAGAAAGGCCATCTGACACAGAAAATGAAGAAAAGGTTAACTAGAAACAATACCCTGAATATTCATTGGAAGGACTGATGCTGAAGCTGAAGTTCCAATACTTTGGCCACTTGATGTGAAGAGCCAACTCACTGGAAAAAAAACCCTGATGCTGGGAAAGACTGAGGGCAAGAGGAGAAGAGGGTGACAGAGGATGAGATGGTTGGATGGCATCACCAACTCAATGGACATGAGTTTAAGCAAACTCCAGGAGATGGTGAAGGACAAGGAAGCCTGGCATGCTGCAGTCCATGGGGTCGCAAAGAGTAGGACAAGACTTAGTCACTAAACAACAACATCAACACAGAAAACTTGGAAAGGGCAACTAGAATCAACATCAGTCCTTGAAATCAAATACTTTTAGCTTTATACATTACCACTTAAGCCTTCTTCTCATCATAAAGACACCATGAACCAGTGCTGGTTCAGTCACCTCCCCCCAAACCAGAGATAATTGTTGTTATAGCTTCCCTGGAAGCAGTCATCTCTCTGTGTAGAAAATGGTGGAACCAAAAAAGGATACAAAAGCTCCAATGATGAAAACAGGGCTGAAAACGTGCTTCTGGAAGGTAAACAGTGCCAGGCCCATGTAGGAGAATATGAAGTTCTCTGCCAGGAAGTGTAATACTTCAAAGAGCTGCACAGAAAGGGAAAAGCAAACCGTAAACCCCATGGGTCCGCTCCCTCGTATTACAGATCACTGGTGAGGACACATGGCTCTCCCTCACCTGCTTCGTTCGGCTTCTGGATTCCACTGACAGATTGTTGTAGGTGTAATGAGCTTGTGTGATTCCACAGAAAAGGACAGCTACCACACCTGGCAAGAGAATTCAAGAAAAATCTATAGGGGGCAGGGAAAGATGCTGGAAACAATCTCTCCCTGAAGCAAAAAGTTAAGATAGGAAAAACCAGCATATCCCACTTCCTGAAAGTTTTGGAAAGTTGCCTATTACTGAAAGTGCCCCCGACCCCACTTCTCATATCAACCTTTGCTTCTCCCAACTCTGCTCTCCTTCAAAGTCAAGGCCCTCAATTTTCCCCCTTCCTCCAGTTTTAAGGGTATTCTCTCCCCTCTTCTAAACTCCTACTGAATTGACCATCTCGATGTGGAATTTAGCATTCACTCCCTCATAGAGACTGTGAAGGGTGTACCGGTCACACAGTTGTCATATTCCTCTCTGTTTGCTGAATGAATGAATTTAATTTCAAACCAATGCTTTGTATTTTTGCATGGTCCAGGGATTCAGACAAAATGGATCCAGAGTACTAGTCCATTTATCCCAGCCCTGAAAAATCTAGATTTCTGGTTAATAGTGATTATTTTGTTGTTCAAGACAACTAGCACACCTGGGGCTTTGCCTACATATTTACAGATGGTTGTCAAGTTTTAAAGGAAGTAGGTCACATAAAGATACATTGCAGTATTTAGAAAAGATAATGAAAAGCACTTCCTAATTACCTGGGTTACGGAGAGCAACTATACTAGAGTTTTCTAACAGAACAAATCCAATTATTAAGTTTTTTTTTAATGAGAGAATGTGAAGAAGTAACACAATCACCCACACTAATAATCTATGAATCTAGCACCATAAAAACACAGTCTTGAAAAGTGGTGATTAAACAGACCAGACACAAAACAAGGAAAAACTGTGCTCACACTCATCTGAGTAGATGCAAAATGATCTTTAAAAGGATATATATTTTGCTTGTTATCACTACTGTCTGTAAAGTAATATAGCAATTCAGGGGAGGATACAAACAAGGTGGGCTTCCCTTGTGGCTCAGCTGGTAAAGAATCTGCCTGAAATGCGGGTAGACCTGTGTTCGATCCCTGGGTTGGTAAGATGCCATGGAGTAGGGAACGGCTACCCACTCCAGTATGCTGGCCTGGAGAATTCCATGGACTGTATAGTCCATGGGACTGTAAAGAGTTGGACACGACTGAGCAACTTTCACTTTCAATTTACAAACAAGGTATTAATATATTCAATAACTTTTGCAGCTAGGCATCTACTTGTAGTCAGAATGAGTACTCAAAGATGTAACTGAGTTTGAAACAATAAAGCTTATCCTTTAAAAAATATATAGCTTTGGGGGAAACTAAACTATTCCTAAGGCAGCACACAGGCCTCACTCGGCAATCCTGCATATGGACATTCTGTGAGCGGTTTATCAACTCCAGGCCATAGCTATTAAGAATTTTGCCCTCCCCTCAAGCTCCCACAGCTCCAGCCACAGTGAGGATAAAGGCGACCCAAGGGCAGAGGAAACCCACCTGTGAACCCACAGGCTTCAGCCAAGAGGAACGTGCTCCACGACATCAAAAAGAAGAGTGCAGTCTCCAGCAGGGGAAAGCAGTGCAGCTTGGTAAACTTGGTCACGTCAGCTCCTGTCAAGGAACTGTCTCCAGCAACAAGTATCACGGTCACTGAGAATCATTCTCTGTTAGCCCAGGACCCTTCCCCAAAGGGCTACTCTTTCCACTTCAACTCTTCCTTTGGGGCCCCAAAGCTGCTGCATGGTTTTGAATATAAAGAAAATGAAGCTTCTCCAGTAGAATGGAGGTTTCTGAGGGATGGGAGTCCAGGGATAGGGAGGATACTATTCAACAGGCACACAGTTTCTGTTGCAGATGATGAGAAAGGTTCTGGAAATGGTGGCGATGGTCACACAACACCAGTGGATGCACCTAATTCCACTGAATTGCATATTTAAAATGGTTAAAGTGGCAAACTTTATGTTAGGCATATTTTACCACAATTAAAAAATAATAATAACGTAATATACCAAAAACCAATGAATTGTACACTTCAAATGGGTGAACTGTACAGCATGTGAATTTCCTCTCAATAAAGCTGTTTTTTTTTTCTTAAATCAAGCTTTCCAAGAGAACTGGAAATGGGCTCTCTATGCTCCTGGCAATGCCCATATTTCTGAGACGCACAGTTGAGGCCTGAGGTATGACTTGCAGGTGGGTTCCAGCAGTGCTAGGAGTGCCTCAGGCAGGCCTCGGAAGATGAGGCAGGGAGACTCTGACCTCTGTGGACTACTAAGGCCTGAGTCCATCACAGGTGCCTAATGCACACATGAGGGAGAGAGGGAGGTAGAAATGCACAACTCCAGGGATAACTACAAAGTGCTGTCACTTTTTGGGATTGGCAATTCCCTTCCTCACACTGCCATTCCACGGAGTGGTGGCGGCGGCGGGGGTGGGGGGGGCGGCGCAGTGCAGCTTAGAACCATGTCATGAGTGGTTTCACTGAGCAATATAAGTCCTCAGAGCATCAGAGAGCCTTGAGGAAGAAAGCAATCTACATCTGCACGGCCCAATATGATAGCCGCTAGCCCCATGTAACTACCCAACACTTAAATATGGCTAGTCTGAACTGAGATATCCTGTAAGAGCAAAATACACACCATATTTCAAAGACTTGGTACAAAACCTGAAGGGATAAAATCACATCACTAACTTGTATAAACTCCATTAATAGTCTGTGTATCTACTGTAGGCTGAAAAGATGAGGCTCACATTTGTGGCTCCCATTACATCTGTATTGGTCCCTGCTGATCTAAATGCTATTGGAAGAAGATCTGATGAAGAACTCAGTGCACCTGTTGAAGGCTTGCCTGCTCATTCCAACACTTTGCTTTTATGCTTGTTGGTTGACTGGCTTGTTGGTTTTTAACTCAATATCATGCAGTCCTTGGCTTAAGGAAGGCCACCTTGCTATAATTCCCACAGACAGCCCCTGGCTAGTGAAGGCCATGTTAGCCCCATATGGCCTGGAACAGCGGAAGACAGCAGCTAGTCTGGGGCTAAAGTACTTCACAGCCTGCTTCCTTCCAGCCTCCTGACAGGTGGTCTCCAATTCCCAGCCTCCTGGCTCTTCCACTGTTTCTGTGCCGCCTCCCACACCCCCCAAATGACGCTTCCTCCAAGTTCCTGTCTCCAACTGGTTTATAGGAAGAAGAGAAACACAAAGGTGAGGACACAGCTAAGCCCAGAGCTACACTCTCAAACATTTTCTCTGACTCTTAACTAGGTCATCGACTGTCAAGTTTCACCAAAGGGTGACATTTCAGGGGCCCCCAGCCCCCAGTGGAACAACCAATTTAAGATTCATTTCTGAAAGGAGGAAATGAGAACTTTCTTTTCACAAGTGCAAGGTCACATAATCATACTCAGGTGGGTGCAGAAACCACAGAAAGGATATTAGAGCAGTCACGACACCAGTCACAGCTCCCATAGTAAAAGAGCCACTAAATATACCTAGAAAAATGCCAACTGATTTAAAAAAGGCAGCAGCATCAAAGGCGTGAGTGTTCAGCCCTGCTGGCTGGTAGGCAACAATAGACCTGGAGTTTAAAGAGAGAGAGAATTAGAAAATACTGGGCTGGTTTTACACCATGGTACTTACAAGTATCGACAAACATAAGTATCTACACTCTGTGGAGCACTCCCCATGGTGTATTCATTTAATTTAACCTGCAGTCACCATATTATGAAGGTATCAGCATTCTGATCACTGCCCACTGGACAAAGCAGCATAACTTTATCAACTAAGTCTATAAACCTCATTTAGAAAAGCACCCAATTCAAAATTTAACACTTTTAAGGTGGGCCTCTGATTTTAGCCCAGAGCATTCAGAAAGCCAGAGTCTCTTTTCCCAGGCAGAAATATTGTTACTTACGAGGACAGTACAATGGCAACAGCATCATTTAGGACACTTTCTCCAAACAGAAGTGCGTAAAGGTCCACGTCTGCATGCAATTCATTAAATATCGCCAGTACGGTCACTAAAAGATGGGCCAAAAGCATATAAATTGGTTGCAGTTTCTGAATGAGGAGTGATATGATGCTTGATTCTAACAACACTGCGCTTTCCACTGTAATCCCATCACACTTTGAAAATACTTCTACTACAGAACTTTAAAAATAATCACAATGAATGTGACTTGGCTCTAGTGATAAGTTGAAATCACTTTTTAGGCAGAAACCCTATTTTATTTTTTATTTTATTGAAGTATGGTTGATTTACTATGTTGTGTTAATGTCTGCTGTACAGCAAAGTGATTCAGCTATACACATATATTCTTTTTCATGTTCTTTTCCATTATGGTTTATCACAGGATATTGAATATAGTTCCCTGTACTATACAGCAGGACCTTGCTGTTTATTTATTCTATATATAATAGTTTACATCTGCTAATCCCAAATTTCCAACCTATCACTTTCCTACCCCCCTCCATCTTGGCAACCACAAGTCTGTTTTCCATGTCTCTATGTGAGTCTGTTTCTGTTTCACAGATAGGTACATTTCTGTTGTATTTTAGATTCGACATATAAATGATATCATATGCTATTTGTCTTTCATTGTCTTATTTCACTTAGTATGATAATTTCTAGGTCCATCCCCATTGCTGCAATGAAACCCTATTTTATTGATCATTGTGCTCCCAGATTCCAGCATAGGGTCAGGGCACAGAGAAGGCTTTACTAAAGATCCATAAAATAATGCAAGTCCTCATTTAAGACAGACTATACATAATTACACTTCTCATGGGTTTCACATTTCACAGGTATTTACAATCAACTTTTTTCCAGACCAGCAGCTCTCACACTTTTCATCTCAAGACTCCTTTACATCCTTAAAAAATTCTGAGGCTGGCAAAGAGTTTTAGTTTTGTGGGTTATAGCTTTCAATATTTACTGTATTGAGTAAAACAAAAAATTAAATATTTATTCATTTAAATTACTAGTAAACCCATTCTATGTTAACATTTTTTACTGAAAAATAATAATTTTTTCCATAAAATAGTGTAAAGACAATTACTGTTTTACATTTTCTCAGGTCTTTTTAATATCTGACGTAATGGAACATGGGTTTCACATCTGTTTCTATATTTGATCAATAGGGAGTTACTGTTACAATTATGTAAGCCCTGGAAAACTCCACTCAACAGTACACTTATAAGAATGAATGTAAGCAAAATAGACTAATGATATACTACTATTATTCTTAAATCAGTTTTGACCTTATGGAACCCTGAAAGGGTATTGGAGTTTCTGGATTTTGGTTCTACTGAAAGTTGGGGCCATATAACTCTTTGTCGTGAGGGCTACCTGGTGTGCCATAAGATAGTTTAGCAGTATCCCTGGCCTCTACCCACAAGATACCAGTAGCACCACACACTCTCCCCTGCCAAGCTTTGACAACCAAAAATGTCTCCAGACATTGCTGAACATCTGCTGTGGTGGGGCAAAATCATCCCCAGTTAAGAACCACCACTCTAATCTGTACATGCAGGTGGGGTTCACTCGCAACACTCACATTCAACTACCTTTTGTTTTGTTAGTTTCTGCCATAAGAAACTGAGAAACTAAACTCACTTCTTTAGCTTCCCTTGTGGTGAGTGCCACCTCTTGCTGCGTGGAAGAGGGTGAAGACTGGATACAGTGTGGTCATCTTGCCTCCATGGGGCAGTTAAGGTATGTCTGAAATCCAAAGGTAGTGCACTAGAAAGACTGAGTGCCTGATTGTCATGGGAGCCATGGCACCAGCTCGGAGCTCTTAGCCAAAATAAACAGCTCTCTGTTTAAGTTAGCATTAGCCAGACCATCCTGTTATTTGCAACCAAACGCATTACTTACTGATACAATTAGAATACACCCAGATATTTAGCAGTATTATAAACCAACCACTTTTGTAACCATCATCCAGTGGAGGAAACTGCCACTTTGCCAACCCCCACAGAAGTGCCTCACAATATATTCCATCCCAATCTCAGTTCAATTCAGTTCAGTCCCTCATGTTTGACTCTTTGCTACCACAAGGGCTGTAGCACACCAGACCTCCCTGTCCACCACCAACTCCCACAGTTTACTCAAACTCATGTCCATTGAGTCGGTGATGCCATCGAACCATCTCATCCTCTGTCGTCCCCTTCTCCTCCCGCCTTCAATCTTTCCCAGCATCAGGGTCTTTTCCAATGAGTCAGTTCTTCGCATCAGATAGCCGAAGTATTGGAGTTTCAGCTTCAGCATCAGTCCTTCCAATGAATATTCAGGGTTGATCTCCTTTAGGATGGACTGGCTGGATCTCCTTGCAGTCCAAGGGACTCTCAAGAGCCTTAGCCAACACCACAGTTCAAAAGCATCAAATCTTCAGTGATCAGCTTGCTTTATAGTCCAACTTTCACATCCATACATGACTACTGGAAAAACCACAGCTTTGACTAAACGGACTTTTGTTGGCAAAGTAATGTCTCTGCTTTTCAATGTCTCTGCTGTCTAGGTTGGTCATAACTTTTCTTCCAAGGAGCAAGCATCTTTTGATTTCATGGCTGCAGTCACCATCTGCGGGAGCAGTGGATGCACGGCGTGGGGGCAGCGGTGAGGAGATACCCCACATCTAAGGGCAGAGAAGCCCCAGGAAGATGGTAGGCGCTGGAGCAGCAGCTGCATGGTGGCTGCATGGTCCTGGAGTAGCTCTGAGGAGATACCCCACGTCCAAAAGCAAAGGAGAAGCCCCAGAATGATGGTTGCTACTGCTAAGTCACTTCAGTCATGTCCAACTCTTAGCGAACCCATGGACTGTAGCCTACCAGGCTCCTCCATCCATGAGATTTTCCAGGCAAGAGTACTAGAGTCGGTTGCTATTGCCTTCTCCAAGAATGATGGTAGCAGGGGCAAAATCACGTTTAGAATCAAACCCCACACTGGCCAGAAATGCTTAGAAGGCTCAAACAAACCTTGTGTGCACCAGGACCCAGAGACCCCACAGAGACTGAGACAGAACTGTGTTTGAGTGTCTCCTGTGGAGGTACGGCTCAGCAGTGGACTGCTGCAGGGACAGGGGCTCTGGGTGCAGCAGACTTGGGTGTGGCATAAGCCCTCTTGGAGGAGATCGCCATTAACCCCACCATAGAGCTGCCAGAACTTACACAGGACTGGGAAACAGACTATTGGTGGGCAAAAACAGAAACTTGTGTGCACCAGGACCCAGGAGAAAGGTACAATGACCCCACAAGAGACTGACCCAGAATTGCCCTTAAGTGTCCAGCAGTCTCCAGCAGAGGCATGGGTCAGCGGTGGCCTGCTGCAGGGCTGAGGGCACTGAGTGTAGCAGAGCAGGCATGGGACCTTGTAAAGGAGGTTGCCATTATCTTCATTACCTCCACCATAGTTTGGCCCAGGTAAATAACAGGGAGGGAACACAGCCCCATCCATCAACAGAAAATTGGATTAAAGATTTACTGAACACGGCCCCGCCCATCAGAACAAGACCCAATTCCCCCTCAGTCTGTCTCTCCCATCAGAAAGCTTCCATAAGCCTCTTATCCTTCTCCATCAGAGGGTAGACAGACTGAAAACCACAATCACAGGAAACTAACCAACCTGATCACATGGACCACAGCCTTGTCTAACTCAATGAAACTATGAGCCATGTCGTGTAGGGCCACTCAAGACGATAGGTCGTGGTGGAGAGTTCTGACAAAACGTGGTCCACTGGAGAAGGGAATGGCAAACCACTTCAGTATTCTTGCCTTGAGAACCCTATGAACAGTATGAGAAGGCAAAAAGATAGGATACTGAAAGATGAACTACCCAGGTTGGTAGGTGCCCAATATGCTACTGGATATCACTGGATAAATAACTCCAAAAAGAATAAAAAGATGGAACCGAAGCAAAAACAACACACAGTTGTGGATGTGACTAGTGATAGAAACAAGGTCCAATGCTGTAAAGAGCAATATTGCATAGGAACCTGGAATGTTAGGTCCAAGAGTCAAGTCAAGTTGGAAGTGGTCAAACAGGAGATGGCAAGAGTGAACGTTGACATTTTAGGAATCAGTGAATTGAAAGGGACTGGAATGGGTGAATTTAACTCAGATGACCATTGTATCTACTACTGTGGGCAAGAATCCCATAGAAGAAATGGAGTAGCCATCATAGACAACAAAAGAGTTCAAAATGCAGTACTTGGATGCAATCTCATAAATGACAGGATGATCTCTGTTCCTTTCCAAGGCAAACCATTCAATATGATGGTAATCTAACTCTATGCCCTGACCAGTGACACTGAAGAAGCTGAAGTTGAATGGTTCTATGAAGACCTACAAGACCTTCTAGAACTAGCACCAAAAATAGATGTCCTTTTCATTATAGGGACTGAAATGCAAAAGTAGGAAGTCAAGAGATACCTCGAGTAACAGGCAGTTTGGCCTTGGAGAACAAAATGAAGCAGGGAAAAGGCTAACAG